AAATGGATACTTATTTTCTGGAAATTTGAAATGATTTACTAAAGGGATAACTTCAAATTATGCATCCACTACATATTCATATGATAGTCACTAGCTGCAAACTTACCAGTGGTAACCAATAAATAGCCCAGGAGCAAATGTGAAGACATAAGTTGCCAGTGATAAAATTTTCAAGAAAGTATAAGAGGAAGGAGGACTGGGGGAGGAAGAGTGGGAGGGGGAGAGAGAGACAGAGAGAGAGAGAAAGAGAGAGACAGAGAGAGGAAGAAAAGAAAAAACATATCCCTGAAGAGTAATGGGAAAAAATGTGATATCTATTTTTGTTAGTTGTACCGTAATTAGAATGTAGTCCCAAAATTAAATACATAATGAAGCACAGTCCTGAAAACAGAAACAGAGTATCATTTTATTCATAGATTCCAGATATATAAGCAAAATTATCTCAATCCTGAGAGCCTTGTTTTCTCACATACCATATTTCCTGAAGCTCATTAGTGAGGTAACGTGCTGCCTCACTGCCTGTGACTTTCCCCACCCACCACCATGGAAGTATAAAAGGCCAGTGGAATCCAGAAAAAACACACCTACTTCCTAGTTCTCAACAGAACAGTCCACTAGAGACGCCATGTACAACTACAGCAACTACTGCGGTGGCCTGCGCTGTGGCTATGGCTGTGGCTGTGGCTCTGGTGGCTATGGTTATGGCTGCTGCCGCCCCCTGTGCTGTAGAAGATACTGGTCCTATGGCTTCTACTGAGGAGTTTCCACAGCTTCTTAACCTATTGGCTACCAGCTTCTGTTGTCCTGGGATTATCTCCAATGTTCTGCAGATGGAGAATTTTTAAATAGCTTCAATCTCCTACTACATACTACACTAGTTTAAAAAAATGAAATTTTAAAAACCAGTATCAGTTAGATTATGTGGCAGATTGCAGAAAAGTTTCTGTACTATGTTTATAATGCTGGGTAGAATGCAATCAAATTTAACTGTCAATTTTTGCATACAGATATGTATTATTGAATAAACTTTCTTTCACCATAGACATTGACTTGTTACTCTTTCTACCTTAGCAATTTTCCTTGTATTTGTATTTTGTGTCTTTTGTATTTTGTGATCACGTGTATATGTGTGTGGAGTTGTAGCAGAAAAGTGAGAGACAGACAGACAGAGGGAAGGTGTAATAGATTCCCATGGGATCTGGGAAGGCGAGGGAGAGCCCTGCTCCCACAATTGTTGGTCTAACTTGAAAGCAAAAATAACATTTTTTTTTTATAACAAATGTTACACGTTTGCTTTTATGTATGCTTTTTATTCTCCCAGATCATTTTACTTTGTTTCTGCTAGCTATCCAGGTTTAAAAATAGTTATTGCTACAATAATAATGTTATTCCCATCTGATGATTTCCAAAAGTCTGTGTCTGTACTTTTGGTCACGTGCAGCACCAGTGATTGACTTATTTCAGATAGAGTTCAGCCTTTGTTAAAGATTTCTCCATATTTAAAAAGCATTCTGCCCGGAGAGTAATTACAGATGCTTTGTTAGTCACTTTAGAATTGTTTGAACAAAATACCTATCACCCACAACTGACAAGAGGAGAGGTTTGCATCAAGTCCCTGTTGGTTGGCACTAAAGTAGAAACGGCGAGGAGAAGGGGCTGTGTAAGAGCACAGGCTCTTCATCTCATGGCATTAGGAAGCAAAGGGAGACAGGACGAGCTGCGGGAGGAGATACAGCTGTCCAGAGACACCCGAGTGACCAGTCTCTGGCCTATCTTCCAAGTGCAACCTCAGCTCCTGAGACGTTAATGGATGACTCTCCTGATGAGAAGAGGATCCCACCGTCTACTGACCACCCAAGGGCTGTGAATCTGAGTGTGTCAGTATTTGGGGGTCATTGAAGATCTATATCACAATGAGTGCAACCATTCCGAGAACATATAAATTCCTCGGTCCATGAACACTTCTGTCCGTGGACAATTGTTTTCATGAACCAGTGTTGGGCAAAATTTGGCTTCCCTTTTTGAACTCCACGGGGTGATAAAGGGGAACATGATCATCTTCTCAATGATCATGGAATGAATTAAGTTCTTCAACTGAGATACAAGTGCTTTATAGTAACACCATTCTCTAAAAATATGATTTCTACAACTTTCCAAAATACAACACTTCATTTTAAATATTTAGACAAGACAAGACGGATGTGGATGCATATGCCTGTAATTCCAGTACTTGGGAGGCTGAGGCAGGAGGATTGTTGCAAGTTCAAGGCCACCCTGGGCTACAAAGTGAGCTCAAGCCCTACTTGAACTGCACAGAGACCCGCTATCTCAAAAAGACCCCCAAAAAATTGAAGTATAAATTAATTTCCCTGTTTTTTAGCAAAATCTGTGCTTATGCTTGTTGATTTGCTCGATGGTACAATTATTTCATTGCTAAAGGACATTAGGTTTCACTTGGGAAGTGCAAACTGACACTGTCAACATGCAACAAAAGATGGTAGAAAAAGAAAGGACTGAAGGAACCTACATTTGGAAGATGGAGATATTTTGGAGACGGGTTGAAATTCCACTCTTCTTGATTCTGAGAGTCAAGCAAGAAACCTCTGGGAGAAAAAAAGTCAGCAGCATTTTGAATGCTACCCCAGTTAAGGACTTCAAGAGAAAAGAAAACACAATCCTGAAAAAATATTCTCTACTAAAACACTAAATTTTGCACTAAGTAAGGTTTCTCCTTGAGATAATTTAGAAATTCTGAAGGTGCAAGAAGCTTGTTTCCTAAGACAACAAGCAAGTATCATTTGAAATTTGTTCCTGTCAAGGTCTTGAGAAAATTATCAGAAGCATTCAGATTTCCTTAAAGAGGAACAAGGAGCATCTCCTACACTGGGCTCAAATAGAGGCAGAGAAACCCTTCAGGGGAGGCTTACGTGAGTCTTGTTTTGAAGTCAGTCCTATTTTGCTTCCATTGTTTTGTTGGGTTGAGCTTTATTCTCTTTTTGTTGTTGTTGTTTGATTATGACAAATCTTTCAAAGATCACAAGATTTTTTATGGTAGCAATTCTGGATTTACTACGGGCTTGTTTTTAAGTTCTTTATTGCATTCATTGTTTTGTTTCTAGTGTTTGTATTCTATTCTGTTGTGTTTTGTTTGATTTTTACTATGTACAAAGTTATCTGCAGCTATTTTGAAGACATCAAACAGTATAATGACAGATAGCTATTACTGTTTTCATAACATTTTTGAAGTCCTGTATCTTTTACACTGGTTTGTTTTGATTGGTTTTATTCTGTTTTATCCTCTTTAAAATAAAAATAAAAAATAAATTACATAAAGAAAAATATATATTAATAAAACAAAGTATAATCTTAAACTAAGCAAAATAAAATGATTAAAAGAAGAATAGAGAAAAGATTGTTTTCAATTTTTCACAACAAACGATAAATTAACTTAGGGAAAAGGTAAGTCAATCTGCCCTAGATATTCAAAAACAATGGAATTAATTAAAATTAAAATGAATGTTAATGTGCAGACGGAACAAAGATAATTCATTTTCAGTTGTAATGCACGGAAAATAAAATATGTGAAAAGAGAACTATAAAAGACTGTGCACAAAAATATATAGTATAAAAACACTAAAATTACAAAGACAAAAAATATTAACATATTGAAACAGATGGCATAGGACAATGCAGCTGGAAAAGTCAGAAAATCCAAAAGCTTACTGGGTTGTGGAGCACGTGGAGGTACAAAGCTATGTTGTGGAACAGGGATGCCTTCCCCGTGAACCAGCATTGCTGCTCCTCGGGACCACGCGACCAGTGTGACTGTGGTCATAGATCAGTCAGGGGAAAGCACAGGGTTCTGGGCAGAGGAAACAGTGGGACTGTGGGCTATGCAGGTCTTCTGCTCAGCCTCAGGCTCGATTCCACAAGTACTGTGTAAAAGCAACACCAGATAGCAGGAGTGAATGTTTACTATAAAACATTAATTACCCAAAAACCTGGAAAACGGTCTTGTATCAACCTGTGAAGATGTTATACTGCAGAAATTATTGTGTGTTTTCTCACCTTTAGAACAGGATTGTAAGATGCTTCCTCTTTATGTCTGCTGAGGTCACTTGTTCTGGGCTCACTGTGGACAGAGTTCACATCTGTGCCCTTTGTCTTTGACTTGGGCCATGCTTAAAGTAAGCTTGATATGAAACAAAAACCAAAGTTGAGCATGTAACATCCCATGTAGCCAGAGTATGTTTCATCTATGTACATATGTTTATGTGGAGGGCAAGGTAACAGAGAACACAGGGAGTTTTTGCCCATAAAATGTACATTTTCTGAAAAGCTTGAAATTAATTGTTCAAAGAATAAGTTTAGATTAAACGTCCATTGTGTGCACATATAATAGTGCCTACCATAAATTCACTGGTAACTGCCAGTAACTAGCTCATAATAAAAATAAGCAAGTATAAAGACATAAATTGTTTCTGATATGATTTTCAGGACAGCACAGGGCAAGAAGGTAGTGATACGAAGAGGAAAAAAGAGAGACAAGAAATAGAAAGTGAGAAAGAAAGGAAGAATGGGATGGATGGAAGGTGGGAAAGAGGGTAGGTGGGAGGAAACAATGAGGGGAAATGTATATCTGAGGAGTGATGAAAACAAAGCAAACATAAAACAAAACACCTACTTCTATGGTTTGCACTAGAGCATGTAAGAAGGTCACATGTCTACTATTACCTAAAATTAGAATGAACCAGACGCTTGACAATAGAACAACAGTTTCATAATAAAGGCCTATTATTGGACAATGGATTCCTGACACAATAGCGAAATTATCTCAGTTGCCAGCACTTGTTTTTCTAATAAATATTACTGACGTGCTCTGAATCACATTAGTGTGATAATGTGACCCCGATGATGATAATGCTGCTGTGGTTTCCCCACCCAGCATCATGGAGGTATAAAAGGCCCTGCAGATGATGACAATCAGTCGCACACACCTGCTTCCTGTTCCTCAATAAACAGCCCACTCCTGACACCATGTGCTACTATGGCAGTTTCTATGGCGGCCTAGGCTGTGGCTCTGGCTATGGTGGCTATGGCTATGGCTATGGTGGCTATGGTTATGGCTGTTGCCGCCCCCTCTGCTGTAGAAGATACTGGTCCTATGGCCTCTACTGAGGAATTTCCACAGCTTCACAGCCTGTAGATTAGAGCCTGATGGTTTATGGGATTTATCTCCAATGCTCCTCACAGGGCAAAGTTTTCAATGCCTTTCAATGCCAAATACACATCAAAATATCTGAAAAACAAATAAACTACAACATTCCATTTTGATTCATCAGTATCAATCTTTTCTTCTAGATTGTAGAAAAGTTCCTGTATTCTCCATATTAGTCTTTATAAAATATGATCAATGTAGATGCCCAATTTTTGTATACAGATTTATATTTAACTAAACTATATTTAATTATAAATATTGCTTTGTTTTTGTTCAACTGCTTTAGCAATTTTGCTTGAAGATTTGTGTGTTTCTGTGTGATCAATCTCATGTGTGGTTGTGGTATCACGGGAGAGAAGGTGAGAAAGACAGAGGGGTAGGTAGCACAGAGAGAGCACAGCGACCTAGAGAGGCAGAGAGGTGCTTGTTTTTCCAATGAGTTGGCATCTAAATTGAAGGGGTAGAAATGTTACCGTTTATTAAACAGATGATAGAAATTTGGCTTTATGGAGGGTTTCTTTGATTCGCACTTCATATAAGTTTTAAAAATGGTTTATTTCTGTGTTAATTGCATTGACATTTGATTATCTAAAAAAGTGTGTGTCTGTGTGCTTTGTTATTTCCAATAACAATGTGTTGATTACATCAATTAGAGCTCTGATTTGGGGAAATTTTTCTCAAGTTTTAAAAAATATTCTGCCTCAAGATTGACGTAGGTGTTTTCTTAGCTGCTTTTCAAGCCTGTGGGACACACATCTGACCCCTATCACTCGAAGAAGAGAGTTTTCTCTTGCTGTGGTGGACTGGCTTTAAATGTCATGTGAAGGGTGTGGGTAGCACCTGCGCTGTTCACCTCCGGACATCTGGGAAGCAGAGAAAGGAATCAGGGAAAGGGAGATCCCTCCCTTACACAACCCCAGGGAGCAGCTGATGAAGATGTCCCTTCTCCTAACTCCACACTCAGACACTTAAAAAAGAGCAGATGAGCACGCTGGTAGGCAGAAGAAGATCCCATAATCAGTACACTGCCAAAGACTCCACGTTCTGAGTAACTGGGAATTTGGGGGAGTATTCTAGGTGGTATCTTAAAAAGTGACATCTTAATGGTGTTTTCATATAGGAAATAACATAATAATGACATTCTAGCCTAAAATGCATAAGTTTAAGTGCATCCTAAAATAGTTTTTGTTTTAACGTGAAGAAAATATATGCACTATACATACATACCAAGAAAAATGTTTTTCAAAATCATAAGATATTTGATCAGTGACAAATAAACCTGAGAATACCACTTTTATTAAATAAAATCCTGGTGTTCCACAAATGTATGTGCTTATGCATGCTGATTTCACCAGTACTGAAAATACATAAATGATGTTAAATTTCACTTGGGAAATTCAAACCCTTAGTATCAAATGCAGTAAAACAGGTTTAAAGGGATTCATATTTGCAAGGTAGAGAAATTTTGAATCATGGGTGGAAATTGCATTCTGCTTGAATCTAGAAGGAAAGAGGCCACTAGGAGAAATATAATTAATAATAAACATGAATGGTAATCCAACCCATGGAGAGCAAATCACAGATGGAGAGAAAGTAAAACACCACCGAAAACATTATGTGAACGAAATTCTGAGCTTCACAATAAGCCTGCTCTCTCCTTGAGATAATGAACATGTCTTGGATTGAAGGAGTCTGGTTTATTAGCTAATTGGCCATATCAAGGGCTTACAAACTAATCATGAGCATTCTGGTTTTGTTTAAAAAAAAAAAAAAACACATTGAAAGAAAGTGTCCCCTGTAGGGTGAGACCAAAGAGACATAGACAGGTCCTTCATGAAAAACTTATTTTTACATTAGAGATTGTGATAATCAGATCAATAAGAAATTTTGTTTCTTAGTTTTTCTTTTCTTCCTCTTTCTCTCTCCCTCCCAGCCTCCATCCTATCACTTGCTCTTCTTTCTTTTTCCAGTGATCCTCATTTCCTACCCATAATGACCTGAACTACTGAGCTGAGGTGACTGTACTGCCTGAACTTCTGGAGCAACTGGAGGTACAGGCAAGTGTCACCACACGCAGCTCAGTCAATCTGACATTTAATAGCCTAGGAGAAAACATAAAATCGCAATGGTAAAATATAATAATATTCTGGGTCGTCTATAATTGTAAATAAATATCCTGGGCTTACGAACACCATGGAAGCATTTAAAGGAAGCCAGACAATAAATGATAATTAAAACATGAAAAACATATTGGAGCTTGCTAAAATGGATTTTTAGAACTGATAAATAATAAATAGAGGGAAATTAAAGGAAATTTTCCAAGTGTGTAGTGAAAAATTCACCAGAGATTCAGAGTAAATTATAGTTCTGAAAAATATATGCTGTTTATGAATCAATAAATTTAAATGAACCATTCATACTGAAAACTATGTTGAAATTGTCCATTAAGCAAACATAAGAAACATCTGAGTGTAAAATATTGAAAAGTGTTTTAAAAATGTTATACAACTCATTAAATTACACATTATAAATAAAATATAATCAAGAAGATAAAGTAGAAATCATCGTTAAACAGGAAAACATTGAAAATTTTTCAAAAATTGTTGAAAGACATCAGTCCACAAGTCCTGTAATATATTCAATGACAAAAGAAATTCAATTCAAAGTACACACAGAAACCTCAATATGTGAAAATTACACTCAAAATCAAAATCTTACTTGAGTTAGGTAAAAAAGTATGTTACCTATAAAAGGAAATATTAAGGTTGGAAAAAAGATAGAAGAAACAAATAAGAAAGAAAGAAAAGAGAAAGAGAAAGAATAAAAAGAAAGATGAGAAAGAAAAAAAAAAGAACAAAAAAATGGAAAGGGAGAGAGAAGAGAGGTGGATGAATGGAGGGAAAATGTGTACTGCAAAAAAATAGAAATGAAGCAAAAGTAAAACCTAGATACCTCATTTTTATGATTTGCACCATAACATGTAATCAGGTCATATGTCTACAATTAAATGTAGAATGAAGACAATCTTAAAAACACAACAAAGGTTTTATTTGAAGGGCCTTAATTGGGAGATGAATTCCTGATGCAAGAGCAAAATTATGTCCATCACAAGGGCCTTGTTTTCTCAACAAGTATAGACAATGATGACCACGCCTGAAGCTCATTGGTGAGTTAACAGGAAACTGTGCTGCCTGTGGTTTCCTGCCCACCTCCAAGGAGGTATAAAAGACCCTCACAGACAGGGACATCCAGACAGAAGACACCTGCTTCAGATCCTCAACAGAAGAATCCACTCCTGACACCATGTGCTACTACGGCAACTACTATGGTGGCCTGGGCTGTGGCTATGGCTGTGGCTGTGGCTATGGTGGCCTGGGCTGTGGCTATGGCTGTGGCTGTGGCTATGGTGGCCTGGGCTGTGGCTATGGCTGTGGCTGTGGCTATGGTGGCCTGGGCTGTGGCTATGGCTATGGCTGCTATGGTTACGGCTGTTGCCGCCCCCTGTGCTGTAGAAGATACTGGTCCTATGGCTTCTACTGAGGAGTTTCCACAGCTTCTTAGCCTATTGGCTACCATCTTCTGTTGTCCTGGGATTATCTCCAATGTTCTGCAGATGCAGCATTTTTAAATAGCTTCAGTCTCCGTCTACATATTACACTAGTTTTAAAAAATGAACTTTTAAAAACCAGTTTCAGTTAGATTATGTGGCAGATTGTAGAAAAGTTTCTGTACTATGTTTATAATGCTGAGTAAAATACAATCAAAATAACTGTCAATTTTTGCATACAGATATGTATTATTGAATAAACTTTCTTTCGTCATAAACATTGACTTGTTACTCTTTCTACATTAGCAATTTTCCTTTTGATTGTATGTGTGTCTTGTATTTTTGTGATCATATTTGTACAGGTGTGGTGCTGTAGCAGGGAATGTGAGAAGGACAGACAGAGCGAAGGTATGATAGATTCCCATGGGATCTGGGCATCCCTGCTGCCACAATTATTGGTCTCATTTCATTGGTAAAAATACCAGTGTTTGATAACAAATGTTACAAATTTGCTTTTACGTATACTTTTTAATCCCATAGGCCATTTTTATCTGCTTGTGCTATCCATGTAGGTTTTTAAAAATGGCTGTTGCTATAATAATAATGGTATTTCCATCTGATCATTTCCAAAAGTCTGTGTCTATATGTTTTGTGACATGCAACACCAGTGATAGACTTATATCAGATAGAGTTAAGCCTCTGTTAATGATTTCTCCATATCTAAAAAGTAATCTGCCTGGAGAGTAATTATAGGTGTTTTGTTAGTCACTTTACACTTGCTTTGCTAAAATACCTATCAGCCACAACTGCATAGAGAAGAGGTTTGTTTCAACTCACTATTGACTGGCACTGAGGTAGAAATGGTGAGGAGAATGGGACTGGGTAGAGCATAGGCTCTTCATCTCATGAAAGCAGGAAGCAGAGGAAATCAGGAGGAGCCACAGAAGGAGAAATAGTTATTCAGCACCAGCCTTAGGACCAGTCTTTGACCCTCCTTCAAGAGCACCTTCAGCTGCTAAGACATTAATGGGTCACTACCTGATGACAAGAGGACCCCAAAGGCTACCAACCACCCAAGTGCTGTGTGTCTGAGTGTCTGAGTGTTTGGGGCTCATTCTATCTGTATCACAATGGGTGCAGTCACGCTGAGAATGCAGAAATAAATGCCTCGGTTCGTGAAGACTTCTGTGTGTGAACAACTACTTTCATGAACCTGTGTTTGCCAAATTGGGGGGTGATAAACAGGAGCATGACCATCTCCTCAAAGACTGTGTAAGGAGTTATTTTCTTGAACTGAGATACCACTGCATTATAATAACAGCATTTTAACTAAAAATGTGGATTCTATAACTTTCCAAAACACAGCATTTCACTTTAAATATGTAGAAGAAAGGAAGGACGTGGATGCTTATGCCTGTAATCCCAGCACTTGGGAGGCTGAGCAGGGAGGGTCACTGTAAACTCAAGGTCAGCTGGGGGACAAACTGACTTAGGCATAGAGAGTCCCTGTCTCAAAAAGACAAAAAAGTTATTAAAAAGATGAAAAGAAGAAAGAAGAAGAGAACAGAAGAACAGGGGATAAGACCGAATATACAGCCAAGAACAATTTTTGAAACCATGAAATGCTTGCTCTGGAACAAATTAAGAGAGAATAATAAATTAATTCCCTTAGTTGTAAAAAAATATGTTCTTATGCTTGTTCATTTGCTCAATGGTACAACTATTGCATTGCTAAAGGACATTAGGTTTCACTTGGGAAGTGCAAACTGACACTGTCAACATGCAACAAAAGATGGTAGAAAAAGAAAGGACTGAAGGAACCTACATTTGGAAGATGGAGATATTTGGAGACAGGGGTTGAAACTAAACTCCTCTTGATTCTGAGAGTCAAGCAAGAAACCTCTGGGAGAAGAACATTCAACAGCATTTTGAATGCTATCCCTACTTAAGGACAGCTAGACAAAGAAAACACAACCTGAGAACAGTTCACTACTAAAATATTAAACTTCACACTAAGCAAGGTTTCTCCTGGAGATAATTAAAAACTGAAGTTGCAAGATTGTTGTTTCCTAAGATAACAAGCAAATTCCATTTGAAATTTGTTCATATCAAGGTCTTGAGAAAATTGTCACAAGCATTCAGATTTCCCTAAAAGGAAACAGGCCTAGCTGAACTAGGAGGATCCCTGACAGGTTGGGGCCAAAATGGGGCAGAGACACCCTTCAGGGCGGCTTATGTGAGTCTTTGCGTGAATCACGTCAGTTACATCTTTCCTTCCCTCCCTCTTTCACCTTGTATCTATGCTTCTATTCTCTTCTTCTCTTTCTCTGTCTCTGTCTCTGTCTCTCTCTCTCTGTCTCTTTCAACTCACTTGTTCCCTTCCTTCTGCCTTTCTTCCTTCTTTTCCCTCTTCCTGTGTTGTTTCATTTTTCTTTCTTAATTTCTTTTTCTCCTGGTTGTTTGTTTACCTCTTCTTTGTTTGTAGCTCTCCCTTGCTTTGCAGTCTAGGACGGGCTAAACCATCTGAGCTGAAGGGTCTGTCCCACCCTGGCTCCAGAAAACCAGAATTGCAGACAAAGGTTACCATCTTCAGCTCCACTGGACAATCAGGCATTTTTAATAGCCAGTCAGCAACTACAAAAGTCTCTATGGAAAAATCCAATGATATTCTGAAACCTCTATATTTTAATAAGGAAATATTGGGTTTATTATAACCTATGGAAGTATGTGCACAAAGTACAAATTAACTAAAATGTGTTAAATCTATAGAAACACACTCAACCACCTTATCTTTGATAAAGGGACCAAACATGTTCACTGGAAGAACAATAGTCTCGTTAATAAATGGAAAAACTGGCTCTCCGTATGCCGAAAACTGAAACTTGATCCATGCTTGCAATCATGTGATAAACTAAAATCTTAATGGATCAAAGATCTGAAAAGAGAAACACTAAATCTGATGGAAGACAAATTAGGTAAGAAGTTTGGATATATAAGAGTAGATAGAGAATTCATGAACAGGAATCAAAATGCACGGGAAATACTTCCAGAATCAATAACTGGGATCACATCTTATTTAAAAGTTTCTTCATGTCAAAAGAAATCCCCAGCATAGTGAAAAGAAAACTCACAAACTGGGAAAAAATCTTAGTGAACTATTCCTCAGATAAAGAACTTCTGTCTAAAACATATAAAGAATTTAAAAAGATCAGACCCCAAAATTCAAAGACCCAATTCAAAAATGGGCATCTGAGATAAATACACAGTTCTCAGATGAAGACATACAATGGTAAATAAATATATGAACAAAGTTCATCATTATTAGTAATTAAGGAAATGAAAATTAAAACCACACTGAGATTTCACTTCACAGGATGGACAAATCAAGAAATTCCCAACAACAAATGCTGGAGAGGCTGTGGGGGGAAAGAACGTCTTGTGCACTGTTGATGGAAGTGTAGATTGGTGCAACCACTGTGGAGGTCAGTCTGAAGATTTCTCAAAAAGCTGGGCTTGGACGTCCCATTTGACCTATCTATTACACTTGTAGGCCTATTCCCAGAAGAACTGAAAATATCATACCACAGTGATATATGTGCACCCATGTTTATAGCAGCACAATTTGTAATAGAGAGATCTTGGAAACAACCTAAGTGTCCATCAATTGAGGGATGGATAAGAAAGTTGTGGTATTTTTATACAATGGAGTATTGCTCAGCTATAAAGAAAGATCACATTGAGATATTTATAAATAAATGGATGCAACTTCCTACCATACTTATAAGCAAAATAAATCAAACTTTCATGTATAAATACCATATTGTGTCTCCCATATAAGAGTATATAAGATGTTATGGTAAGATTGCACAAGACTTTAGGTAATCATGGTAATCTCTGTCTCTGTCTCTGTCTCTCTTAGGTAATCATGGTTCCCCATTATATTGTTTTGAAGACTTATAATGTTTTCATTCATCACTTGGAATGTTTTTATTCTGGTTTGTTTGATTTTATTATTTGTGATGATATGAACAGCTATTTTGAAGAAAACAAGACATTATGGAAGCCATTGCTGATTTAATATCATCTTGCTTTGAAGTCCTACCATGCTTTTGTTCTTCTCTTCCCATTGGTTCTATCGTATTGTACCTTATTGGATTTTATTATGTGTGATAGTATAAACAAATTTTTTATGGAAAATGAGATTGAAAAAACACCAAGAATGAGCATGTAAGATTTCACTTAACCATGGTATCTCTCACTTTATCTACATATGTGTATGTAAAGGGCAAGCAGCATACAGCACATGGAGTTTTTGCTCACAAATTGTACATTTTCTGGAAAGCTAGAAATTAATTGTTCTAATAATAAGTTCAGATTAAATATCCACTGTGTTCCTATATAAAACTATCTAACCATATATACACTAGAAATTGCCAGTAACTTGCTCATTAAAAAAATAAGCAAGTATGAAGATGTAAGTTGGTTCTGATACAATTTTCAGGAAATCACAAAGCAAGAATGTAATGATAGGAAGAGAGGACAAATGCAAGAAAATAAAAGGAGAAAGGAAGGAAGGAAGCGATGGATGGAAGGAGGTAGAGTGGGGAAAGTGAGGGAAGATGGGAGGAAACAACGAGGGAGAACGTATATCAGAGGAGTAATTAAAAGAAAGCAAATAAAGGTGGAACACCTGTTTTGTAGTTTGCACTATAATGTGTAAGAAGGTCACATATCTACAGTTAACTAAATACAGAATGAGCCAGATTCTTGAAAATACAACAGTTTCATATTAAAGGCCCGTTACTGGGGCCTTTAATTACTGGACAATGGATTCCTGACATAGTATCAAAATTATCTCTGTTAGGAGGCCCTTGTTTTCCTAATAAATATTACTGACTTGGTCAGAGTCACACTGGTGAGATAACGGGACCCTGCACTGCCTGTGGTCGCTCTACCCAGCACCAAGGAGGTAGAAAAGGCCCTGGCAGATGATGACAACCAGACTCACATACCTGCTTCCAGATCCTCAACAGAACAACCCACTCCTGACACCATGTGCTACTATGGCAGCTACTATTGTGGCCTGGGCTATGGCTATGGTGGCCTAGGCTGTGGCTATGGCTGTGACTATGGCTATGACAGCTCCGGGGGCTATGGCTATGGTGGCTATGGTTATGGCTGTTGCCACCCCCTCTGCTGTAGAAGATACTGGTGCTATGGCTTCTACTGAGGAGTTTCCACAGCTTCACAGCCTGTAGATTAGAACCTGATGTTTTATGGGATTTATTTCCAGTGCTACTCACAGGACAAAGTTTTAAATGCCTTTTAATGCCAACTAGATATCAAAATATCTAAAAAAACACATAAACTGCAACATTCTATTTTGACTCATCAGTGACAAGATTTTTTTCTAGTTTGTAGAAAAGTTTCTGTATTCTTCCTATGGATCTATATAAAATATGATCAACTTGAACTCCCAAGTTTTCTATACAGATTTATTTTGAGTAAACTATATTAATCACAAATACTGCTTTGTTAATACTATCGTTCTTTGTTCAGAACGATTTTAACCTGCTTTAGTTTGTTTACTCTAAACATAGATGAATATATGGATAACTGCATGTATGTTTAAGTGTATAGGACTGACAACCACGTTACTAAGTTTTTGTTGGACGGTTGAACAGAACTATTTGCAGTCTCGCTGTTTGAATTCCTAGTTTACATGTTCCACTTTACAACTATTTGTAAAACGACAATATGTAAACATCAACTAGCAATTTCTTACTGTTTACTTTTTTCTCTGAACGTATGTATTATTTCCACCTATTTTGTTTTGTTTAGTCTTTCTTTAAATAAAATAAAATAAAGATTAAAAAAACAAATAGTGCTTTGTTATTGTTCAAGTACTTTAGCCATTTTGCTTAAAGGTTTGTGTGTTTGTGTGTGATTAATCACATGTGTGGTGACAGTGTCAAAGACAGGGGTAGGCAGCACAGAGAGAGCATAGGGACCTAGAGAGGCAGAGAGGTGCTTGTTTTTCCCATAAACTGGCATCTAAACTCAATGGGTAGAAATGTTAGCATTTTTGAAACAGATGATAGACATTTGGATTTTTAAATTTCACCTAAATTTTCTTTGAATTGCTGTTCTTGTAATTTTTAAAAGTGGTTTATTTCTGCATAAATTGCTTTCATATTCGAATATTTCAAAAGGTTCGTGTCCACGTGCTTTGTTTCCAATATCAGTGTGTTGATTATGTCAACTGAAGCTCTGACTTTGTGAAATATTTCTCAGGCTTTAAAAAATATTCGGTCTGGAGAATGATGTAGGTGTTTTCTTAGTTCATTTTCAAGCCTATGGGACACACATCTGACAACTACCATTCAACAGAGCAGAGGTTCTCTTGGCTTGTGGTTGACTGGTGTTAAATGTAATGTGAAAGGTTTGGGTAAATTGTGAACTTCTCGCGTCCTGACATCTGGGAAACAGAGAAAGCAGGGGTCAGGGAAAGAGGGATCATTCAGTTACACATCCCTAGGGAGAGGCTCTGAACAGGTTGCTTCTTCTGAATCCATTTAAGCTGCTTAAAAGAGTAGATGAGCACACTGGGAGGCAGAAGGTTCCATAATCAGTACACTGCCAAAGACACCATATTCTGAGCAACTGAGAATTTGAGGGGCACTCTAGGTGATATCTTAACAGGTAACACCTTAATGGTGTTTTCATATAGGAAATAACAACACAATAATGACATTCTGGGCTAAAAAGCACGAGTGCAAGAAGCATATTAAAATACTGTTTTCTGTTTTAACTTACAGGAAATAATATACAAACTGTACATACATACCAAGGAAAATATTTTTCAAAATCATAAGATAATTGCTCAGAGACAAACTGACATGAGAATACCACCTTTACTAGATGGAATCCTGGAGTTTCACAGTTGTATGTGCTTATGGATGCTGATTTGACCAGTACTGAAAATAAATTTCTCCTAAAATGTGTTGTTTCACTTGCAAAATTCAAACCCTCAATATCAAATGCAGTAAAGGGATCCATATTTTGAAGGTGGAAAATTTTTGAACCATGGGTTGAAATTTCACTCTGCTTGATTCTAGAAGGTAAGAGGCTACAGGGAGAAGTGTAATCAGCAGAAATTCCAGTGGTAACCCCACCATCAATAACAAATCAGATATGGAGACAAAGGAAAACACAACGTGAAAACAGTGTGCCAGCGAAATACTGATTTTCACAATAAGCAAGGTTTCTCATTGATATAATGAGCATGTCTTGGGTTGAAGGAGTCTGCTTTCTAAGCTAATTGGCCTTATCAAGGTCTTACAAAATAATCATGAGCATTGGGGTTTCGCTCATAAAAACCACATTGAGAAAAACTGTCTCTTGTATAGTGGGCCTAAAGAGACCCAGACAGGGCCTGCATAACAACAGCCTTATTTTATGTCAGAGTTTGGGATAATGAGATCAAGAAGAAATTTTGTTTCTTAATTCTTTCCCTTTCTTCCTCTCTTTTTGCCTCTCTCCTCTTTTCTCTTCTCCTGTCCTCTCCTTTTATTTCCTTTCTTTTTGCCTCCCCACAATTTCACTCCCTTTTCCTTTCTCTCTCCCTCTTATTTACCACTTGATTTTCTTTGTTTTTAGACTGATCTTTATTTTTTACCAAGAATGACCTGAACTACTGAGCTGAGGTAACTGTACTGCCTAAATCTCTGGAGAAACTGGAGGTACAGGCAAGTGTCACCACATGCAGCTAAATCAATCTGACATTTTAATAACCTAGGAGAAAACATAAAATATCAGGCATTCAGGGATGGTTCAAGATACATAAATCAATAAATGTAATCCATCATATCAACAAAGCCAAAAGAATCACATGACCATTTCTATAGATGCAGAAAAATATTTTGATGAGGTCCAACACTCATTTATGATAAGAATCTTACAGAAAATTGGAATAGATGGTCTTTACCTCAATATAACAAAGGCTATCTATGACAAACCAATAGCCAGTTTCATACTAAATGGGCAAAAATTGAAGGCCTTTACCTAAAAATCAGGCACAAGACAAGGATGTCCTTTATCATCACTCCTATTTAATGTAGTACTGGAAATACTATCCAGAGCAATTAGACAAGAGAGAGAAATAAAAGGGGTAAAGATAGGAGGAGAAGAAGTTAAATTATCATTGTTTGCAGATGACATGATACTTTACATAGAAGACCCCCCAAATCTCCATTGAAAGACTCTTAGATATAATAAATAAATTCAGCAATGTAGCTGGATACAAAATCAGTACTCCAAAATCAATGGCATTTCTATATACTGACAACAAAATCACAGAGAGAGAAATAAGTGAAGCCACAACCTTCATACTAGCAAGCAAAAAAATGAAATATTTAGGAATTACTCTCATGAAAGAAGTGAAAGACCTATACAAGGAAAATTATAATACACTGAAAAAAGAAATTGAAGAGGATCTCAGAAAGTGGAAAGACATCCCTTGCTCATGGATAAGAAGAATAAATATTGTGACAATGGCCGTTCTCCCAAAACTGCTATACAGATTCAATGCAATCCCAATAAAAATACCACCAACATACCTTATGGATCCAGCGAAATCACTCCTCAAATTCATCTGGAACCAGAGGAGACCTAGAATATCAAACACTGTTCTAAGCAGCAAAGGCAAGTCAGGAGGCATCACAGTCTCTGACTTGAAGTTATACTACAAAGCACTTGTAGTAAAATCAACATGGTACTGGAATCACAACAGAGCTAAAGATCAATGGAATACATTAGAAGATACAACCACAACTACAAACACACTCAATCACCTTATTTTTGATAAAGGGGACAAACATGTTCACTGGAAGAATGACAGCATCTTTAATAAATGGTGTTGGAAAACATGGCTATCAACATGCCAAAAACCAAAACTAGACCCATGCCTATCACGATATACTAAATTAAAATTAAATGGACTAAAGATCTGAATATTAAAACAGAAACACTAAATCTATTGGAAGACAAATTGGGTAAAACCCTTGAAGACATAGGGGTAGGTAGAGAATTCATGAACAGGAATCACACCATACGGAAAAAACTTCCCAGAATCAATAACTGGGATCACCTCTTATTAAAAGGTTTCTGCACGTCAAAAGAAATCTCCAGCATAGTGAAAAGAAAACCCACAAACTGGGAAAAAAATCTTAGTGAACTGTCCCTCAGACAAAGGATTTCTGTCTAAAACATATAAAGAATTAAAATCAGACCCCCCAAATTCAAAGATCCAATCCAAAAATGGGCATCTAAGATGAATACACACTTCTCAGATGAAGAAATACAAATGGCAAATCAATACATGAAAAAATGTTCATCATCATTAGTCATTAGAGAAATGCAAATTAAAACCACACTGAGATTTCATCTCACACCTGAAAGAATGGCCAGGATCAAGAAAACCACCAACAACAAATGCTGTTGAGGCTATGAGGATAAAGGAACTCTCCTGCACTGTTGATGGGAGTGTAGACTGGTGCAACCATTGTGGAGGTCAGTCTGGAGATTTCTCAAAAAGCTGGGATTGGAAGTCCCATTTGTTCTAGCTATTCCACTTCTAGGCATATTCCCAGAAAAACTGAAAACATCATTCCACAGTGATATATGTGCACCCATGTTTATAGCAGCACAATTTTTAATAGCCAGAACTTGGAAACAACCTAAGTGTCCATCAACTGAGGAATGGATTAAAAAGTTATGTTACTTTTATACAATGGAGTACTACTCTATTATAAAGAATGATCACATTGAGATATTTATAAATAAATGGGCACAGCTTGAGACCATACTCATAAGCGAAATAAATCAAACTCACAAATATAAATACCAAATATTCTCCCTAGTGTAAGAAATGGTAAGAATACATAAAAGTATGTGGTAATCATGATTTCCCATTATATTGCTTGAAACCTTATAATGTTTTCATTAATTGGAATGGTTCTGTTCTGGGTTGTTTGATTTTATAGTCTTTGATGGAATGAACAGTTATTTTGAAGAAAACGACAATATAATAGTTAATGATGATAAAATATCGTCTTATTTTGAAGTCCCATGAAGCTCAAAAGCTTCTTCTGTGTCCATCGGTTTTTCATGTTGTATCTTATTGGATCTTATATTGATAGTATAGACAAAATGTTTTATAGACAAGGAGTTAATATAGAAACCATTGTTCATTTTCTGTTAATTGGTTCTAAATACCCTGGAACACTTTCATTCTCTTGAATGGTTTTACAGTCATGTTGTGTTTGATGCTATAATACACGAAGCCATACTCTTATATTGCAAGGAAAGAGACACCATGGTAGCTAGTGTTATGTCGGGTTGTCTTGTGGTGAAAAACTACATTGCTTAAATTGTTCTGTTCTAACCTGTGTTATTATGTTGTTATGTCCTCTTTTGTCTTAATCTCATTCTTTCTTTTAATTTTTAAATAAAAATAATCTGCACAAAAATACATAGTATAAAGACACTAAAATTACAAAGATCAGAAACACAAACTCACTGAAACACATAACATGAGTCAATGAAGCTGCAGTGTCAGAGATTCCAAAAGCTCACTGGGTCGTGGAGTACGTGGAGGTAGAAAGCTAAGTTTTGAAACAGGGGTGTCTTCGCCATGAACCAGGAACGCTGCCCCTGGGGACCACCAACCAGTGTGACTGTGCTCATAGATCAGTCAGGGCAATGCACAGGCTTTTGGGTAAGAGGAAAGAGTTGGGATTGTTGACTATGAAGGTCTTCTGCTCAGTGCCTCAGCATTCCATTGCACAAGTATGGTGTGAAAGCAAAACCAGATAGCAGTAGTGAATGTTTACTATAAAATATTAATTACCCAAAAACCTGGGAAAGAGTTTTGTGTAAACCTGTGAAGATGTAATACCATAGAAATTATTGCCTAATTTCTCACCTTTAAAACAGGACTGTATGATGTTTCCTTTTTGATTCTGTTTACTGATATCACTTCTTGTGCACTCACTGTGGGCAGAGTTTATTTCTGTATTGTGTTTGACTTGGCTATGCTTAAAGGTAGCTTGATGTTTAAAAAATACCAAGATGAGCACGTAAGATCCCACTTAGCCAGGGTATTTTTCACTCTATCTACATATGTGTGTGTGGAGGGCAAGCAACACACCAAGGGAGGTTTTACCCATAAAATAAACATTTTGTGGAAAGCTTGAAAGTAAATGTCCAAAGATTAAGTTTACATTAAATGTCCATTTGTACATATGTAGTGGTAACCATAGATACACTAGTGTTTGCTGGTAACTAGCTCATAAAAAAATAAGCACCTTTGAAGATATAAGTCGCTACTGATAGGGTATGTGGGAAATCACAAGACAAGAAGGTAGTGATCGGAAGAGAGGAAAAGAGAAAGAAAGTGAAAAAGGAAGGGAGGAAGGGATTGATGAAAGGAGGTGGAGTGGGGAAAGGAAGGGAAGATGAGAGGAAACAAAGACGGAAAATGTAAACCTGAGGAGTAATGAAAACAAAGCAAACCTAAAGTACAACACCTATTTTTATGGTTTGGACTATAACATGTCTTAAGATCACATTGTCTACAATTAACTCTGTACAGAATTAGTCAGATGCTTGAAAATAGAACAACATTTCACAGTATAGTGCAATTATTGGACACTGAATTCCTGACATTGTAGCAAAAGTATCTCAGTTACAAGGCCCTTGTTTTCCTAATAAATATTACTGACATGGTATGAACCACGTTAGTGAGATAACGTGACCCACGCTGCCTGTGATTTCCACGCCCAGAACCGAGGAGGTATAAAAGACCCTTGGAGATGATGATAACCAGACTCAATAATCTGCTTCCTGTTCCTCAACATAATAGCACACTTCTGACACCATGTGCTACCGCAGCAGCTGCTATGGTGGCCTGGGCTGTGGCTATGGCTGTGGCTGTGGCTATGGCTATGGTGGCTATCGTGGCTATGGCTACAGCTGTTGCCGCCCCCTCTGCTGTAGAAGATACTGGTCCTATGGCTTCTACTGAGGAGTTTCCACAGCTTCACAGTCTATAGATTAGAGCTTGATGGTTTGTGGGATTTATCTCCAATGCTCCTCACATGACAAAGTTTTAAATGCCTTTGAATACCAACTACACATCACAATATCTAAATAACAAATACACTGCAAACTTCCATTTTGATTCATCAGTATCAACTGGTTTTTTCTACTTTGTAGAAAAGTTTCTATAGTTTCCCTATGAGTCTATAAAAAAATATGATCAACGTGGATTCCCAAGTTTTCTATACAGATTTACTTTTAAGTAAACCATATTTAATCACAAATATTGCTTTGTTGTTCAAGTACTTTAGCAATTTTGCCTAAAGATTTGTGTGCTTGTGTGTGATTAATCACATGCGTGGTTGTGGTGTGATGGGACAGAAAGTGAGAAAGACAGAGGGGTAAGCAGCACAGAGAGAGCACAGGGACCTAGAGAGGTAGAGAGGTGCTTGTTTTTCCCTTACACTGCCATCTAAACTGGATGGGCGGAAATGTTAGCATTTTTGAAACACATGACAGAAGTTTGGCTGTTTTAACCTCACCTAAATTTTCTTTGAATTGTTGCTCATGTAATTTTTAAAAGTGGTTTATTTCTGTATGATTTGCTTTCATATCCAATTATTTCAAAAGGTTTGTGTCCATGTGCTTTGTTTCCAATACCAATGTGTTGATTATGTCAGCCAGAGCTGTGCTTTTGTGAAATATTTCTCAGGCTTTTAAAAATATTCTGCCTAGAGAAGGATGTAAGTGTTTTCTTAGTTAATTTTCAAGCCTATGGGACACACATCTGACAACTACCATTTAATAAAAGAGAGGTTCTCTTGGCTTGTGTTGACTGGTGTTCAATGTAATGGGATGGTGTGGGTAGAGCAGGAGCATCTCACCTCCTGATATCTGGGAAACGGAGTCAGGGAAAAAGAGATCATTCAGTTACAGAACCCCAGGGAGCAGCCTCTGAAGAGGTCCCTTCTCCTGACTCCAGTTCAGCTGCTTAAAAAAGAGTAGAGGAGCACACTGGTAGGCAGAAGATCCTATAACTGGTACACTTCAAAGACCACATTCTGAGCAACTGAGAGTTTGAGGCACATTCTAGGTGATATCTGAACAGGTGACACCTTAATGGTGTTTTCATATAGAAAAAAATAATGTCATTCTGGCCTAGAAAAGCATGAGTGCAAGTAGCATCTTAATATATTGCCTTCTGTTTTAACTTGTAGAAAATACTATATACATTACGTATATAATAGTATTTTTAAAATCATGAGATATTTGCTCAGTGATAAACTGACATGATAATATTGCTATTATTAAATGGAATCCTGGTGTTTCACAATTGTATGTGCTTATGGATGCTGATTTGACCAGTACTGAAAATAGATTTCTCCTAAAATGTGTTGTTTCACTTGGGAAATTCAAACATTCAGTATAAATCCAGTAAAGAGATCCGTATTTTGGAGGTGGAGAATTTTTGAAGCATGGGTTGAAATTTCACTCTGCTTGATTCCTGAACTAAGAGGCTGCTGGGAGAAGAGTAGTAAGTAGAAATTTCAGTGGTAACCCCACCCAGGGAGAACAAATCACAGATAGAGACAAAGGGAAACACGACCTGAAAACAGTTGTGAGTGAAACACTGAGCTTCACAATAAGCAAGGTTTCTCCGTGAGATAATGAACATGACTCCGGTTACAGGAGTCAGATTCTAAGCTAATTGGTCATATCATAGGCTTACAAAACAATCATGAGCATTTGGGTTTTGCTAATAAAAAACACACAATTGAAAAAAAAAGTGCCTCATGTAGCTTGAGCCCAAAGAAAGACAGACAGGTCCTGCATAACAGCCTTTTTATGTTAAAGATTGTGATAATCAGATCAATAAGAAATTTTGTTTCTTAATTTTTTTCCTCTCTTCATCTCTTTCTCCCCTTTTTTCTCCTCCTCTTCTCTTCTTTATTTCTTTTCACTTTCCTCAATTTTCCTTCGGTCTCCTTTCTCTCTCTCTTTTTTGACTCTATCTCTCTGTCTCTCTCTGTCTCTCTCTCCTACTCCTGTTTATTACTTGCTCTTCTTTGCTTCTTTGTGAACTTATTTTGCTATCCAGAACGACCTGAACTACTAAGTTCAAGAGACTGTACTGCCTACACTTCTGGAGTAGCTGCTAGTACAGGCAAGTGTCACCACATGCAGCTCAGTCTGAAAATTTAATAGCCTATTAGAAAACCTAAAATCTCTATGGTAAAATCTAACACTGTTCTGGGTCATCCATATTAGGCTTCTGAACACCATGGAAGCATTTAAAGGATGTAATAGAAAATAAATAATAACTAAACAGAAAAACACATTGGAGTTTGCTAAGATGGATTGTTAGAACTTATAAATAATAAATGGAGGAAAATTAAAGGAAACTTGCTAAATGTGTAGTGAAAAATTCAGAGAATCAAATGTAAATTATAGTTCTGAAAAATGTAAGATGTTTATTAATCAATAAATTTATATGGTCTATCACCATGTACTAAATTAAAATCTAAATGGGTCAAAGATCTGAATATTAAAACAGAAACACTAAATCTATTGGAAGACAAATTGGGTAGAAACCTTCAAGACATAGGAGTAGATAGAGAATTCATGAACAGGACTCAAACCGCACAGGAAATACTTCCCAGAATCAATAACTGGGACCACTTCTTATTAAAAAGTTTCTGATGTCAAAAGAAATCTCCGGCATAGTGAAAAGAAAACCCACAAGCTGGGAAAAGATTTTAGTGAACTCTCTCTCAGACAAGGGACTCTTGTCTAAAACATATAAAGAATTAAAAAAACTCAGACCCCCAAAATTCAAAGATCCAATCCAAAAATGGGCATCTGAGAAGAATACGCACTTCTCAGATGAAGAAATGCAAATAGCAAATAAATACATGAAAAAATGTTCATCATCATTGGTCATTAGAGAAATGCAAATTAAAACCACACTGAGATACCATCTCACTCCTGAAAGAATGGCCAGGATCAAGAAAACCAACAACAACAAATGCTGGAGAGGCTGTGGGGAAAAAGGAACTCTCCTGCACTGTTGGTGGAAGTGTAGACTGGTACAACCTTTGTGGAGGTCAGTCTGGAGATTTCTCAAAAAGCTGGGATTGGAAGTCCCATTTATTCCAGCTATTCCACTTCTAGGCATATTCCCAGAACTGAAAGCATCATACCACAGTGATATATGTGCACCTATGTTTATAGCAGCACAATTTGTAATCGCCAGATCTTGGAAACAACCCAAGTGTCCATCAACTGAGGAATGGATAAAAAAGTTGTGGTATTTCTATACAATGAAGTATTATTCAGCTATAAATAAGGATCACATTGAGATATTTATCAATAAATGGGCGCAGCTTGAGACCATACTCATAAGTGAAATAAATCAATCTCGCATGTGTGAATACCGAATAGTTTCCCTAATGTAAGTAATGATTCAAATATATAAAAATATGTGGTAATCATGATTCCCCATTGTGTGGCCTTGAAGCCTTATAAAGTTTTCACTTATTAATTGGAAAGTCTTTATTCTGGGCTTCTTGATATGGAAATATTTGAAGCTATAGTATATGAAGTTTTATTCAAATATTTTAAGGTAAAAGACAGACACTATGGTAACTACGATTAAGTCGGGTTATTTGGTGGTGAAACACTAGGTTGCTGAAACAGTCATGCTTTGACCTGTATTGTTATATTGTTATTTCCTGTTTTATCTCAATCTCTCCCTTATTCTTTAAAAAAATTATTTAGTTATTTCTTATGTTTGTTTTAATTAAGGGGAAAATTTTTAAAAATTAGCAGGACATATAATAGTAACTTTTTTGATTTCCTATTAACTTGTTTTGAAGTCCTGTAATACTCCCACGATCTTGTTTTGACTGATTAGACTCTGTTCCATTCTGTATGATAGTATCAAGTTTGAGGGTATAGGCAACTACTTTGAAGGCAATAAGATTCACTAAGATGCCCATTCTGGTTTGACTATTGTCTCCTTTGGAAGCCCTATAATGTTTACAATGCTTAAGTTTTATTGGTCTTGTTCTCTACTGTTTTGTTCAACTTTATAATATCTAATGAGATAGACAATTCTTTTTAAGGAAACAAGAGACATCGTTGATAACCATTGTTGATAACCTTGTACTGTGTTTTACATCATGTGCTATGTCTATCCTTGGTTTTGACTGACAGCTTTGTTTTGCCATATTTGACTTTATCCCCCCCCCAAAACAAGTAATAAGAACTAAGGAGTAATAAAACCCAAAATGTATAAATTTTGTTGTAAAAAAGAGAGGGAAAAAAAGAGCTCTAAAGGATACAACAGCAAGTGTGTTTAGGGGTGTTATATAGCTGACCATATTAATGTTTTTGGTTGGATTATTGAACACAACTGTTTGCAGTCTCACTGTTTGAATGTCCACTTTGTATTCTTTGATACTGTGATTTGAGCAACTATTTCTAAGATGATAATATGTAATCTATTAACTGGTGATTTCTTACTTTTTTTTGTAGTTCTGTATTACTTGTACCCTTACACTGCTTTGTTTTCTTTTGTGTTTTTCTCTTTTTCCTTTTAAATAAAATTTATAAAATAAAAAATAAATAAATAAATTTATATGAACCATTTACAATGAAAACTATATTGAAATTATCAGTAAAGCAAAAATAAGCAATATCTGAATGTAAAATACTGAAAAGTGTGTAAGAATGTGCTATAGTTAATGAAATTACACATTATAAGTGGAATGCAGTCAAGAAAGAAGATAAAGTAGAAATCATTGTTAAATAGGAAAATACTGAATATTTTTCAAAAACTGTTGTAAGACACAAGTCCTTTAATGTATTCAATGACAAAAGAAAGTCAATTCAAATTACAAACAGACACATCAATGCATGAAATCTACATTCAAAAGCTAAATCTTACTTGAGGTAGATAAAACAATTATGTTTCCTATGAAGACAAGTAATAAGGTTGGCAGCAAAAGTCCTTTATATATCTAAAGGGAGCTCTAAGTGCCCTGATGTGACAGGGACAGATCATCGGTAACCACCAGTCTGTAAATTCACAGTCAAAACTGCACACATAGCAAAGTAAATACGTCATTCTGAGAAATATGAAGTGTTGTGTTAAAAGTAGAAAATAAACACAGAAATAACAAGAAGAATAGAAAAAAGATTCAATTTTTCACTTTTCATAACATAATATGATGGGTTTATTTAGTAAATAGTAAAGTGACTCAGACAAAAATGGACATTCTAAAAATGAAATTAAGAATGAATGTTAACACCTATTAACAAAAATGGTCCCTGTCTTTGAGATGTGAATCTCTACAAATAAGATACTTAAAAGAACCATAAAAGAACATACTCAGAGCTCTAAGGCCCTACATTTACCTAAAAGAACAAAGATTAACCTATCACGATAAGTGGTGTAAGTCAATGTAGCTGGAAACATCAGAAAATATGAAAGTTTAGTGCGCAGTGGCACGTGTGGAGGTACACAGCTGAATTTGCAATGACAAGCTCTATTCCATGAGCAGTAACACTGACTGTGTTAGAACAAGCAAGAAGTATGGCAGTTCTCACAGATTAATCAGAGGAAGGTAAACACTTTTTACAGAACAATAAATACTCAACACTGAGCATTTTGCAGTCTACTGACTTCCACCATTGTGGTGTCAAAGCAACACCTGACTCTGCATACAAAAATCAACCTGAAAGTTTTCCTATAAAATATTACTTAAAAATATGGCAAAGTGTCTATATAAAACTAAGTATATTAGTCAGCAGAAATTATTGTTCCTTTGCTCCACATTAAAATGGCATTTTTTCAGCTTTCCCATCTTTACCCTTGGCGGTGATCCTTGTTCTGGCCTCATGGTGGGCAGAGTTTATTTTTGTATACCTTGTTTCTGGTCTTTGCCATGTTGAAAATTAAGCTCCAGTTAAAAAAAATAGCTTCAGGATAGATGGTCTAATTTAATGATGCTTTACAATTTATTCTAAAATATATTTGTATACAGTGAGAAAATGGGGCATAGATCATAGATAGTTTCTGTCCATACGATAAACTTTTGTTTTCTGGAAATGTTGAAATGACCTACATATTTGTAACTATAGATTAACTATCCACTCAGTATACATGTGATAGTAACTGGACATGATTTACCAGTAACAGCTAGTAACCAGCTCATTTCTCTTAGGTAAAGAGTGAAAATATAAGATGATACTGATAAGATTTTCAAGAAAAGACAAAGAAAGAAAGAAAGAAAGAAAGAAAGAAAGAAAGAAAGAAAGAAAGAAAGAAAGAAAGGAAACAAATAGAGAAAGAGAAAGAAGAATAAAGAATCATAGAAAGAAAGAAGAGAAAGTTTGAAAGAAAGAAAGAAAGAAAGAAAGAAAGAAAGAAAGAAAGAAAACAAGAAAATGGAAAGGGAGAGAGAAGAGAGGTGGATGAATGGAGGGAAAATGTGTACTGCAAAAAAATAGAAATGAAGCAAAAATAAAACCTAGATACCTCATTTTTATGATTTGCACCATAACATGTAATCAGGTCATATGTCTACAATTAAATGTAGAATGAAGACAATCTTAAAAACACAACAAAGGTTTTATTTGAAGGGCCTTAATTGGGAGATGAATTCCTGATGCAAGAGCAAAATTATGTCCATCACAAGGGCCTTGTTTTCTCAACAAGTATAGACAATGATGACCACATCTGAAGCTCATTGGTGAGTTAACAGGAAACCGTGCTGCCTGTGGTTTCCCGCCCACCTCCAAGGAGGTATAAAAGACCCTTGCAGACAGGGACATCCAAACACAAGACAGCTGCTTCAGATCCTCAACAGAACAATCCACTCTTGACACCATGTGCTACTACGGCAACTACTATGGTGGCCTGGGCTATGGCTATGGCTGTGGCTGTGGCTATGGTGGCCTGGGCTATGGCTATGGTGGCTATAGTTACGGCTGTTGCCGCCCCCTGTGCTGTAGAAGATACTGGTCCTATGGCTTCTACTGAGGAATTCTCACAGCTTCTTAGCCTATTGGCTACCACCTTCTGTTTTCCTGGGGCTTTATCCAATGCTCTTCAGATGGAACATTTTTAAATAGTTTCAACCTCCTCCTGCATGCTACACTCTATTTAACAAAACGAACTTTGCATTCACCAGTGTCAGTTAGATTACATGAAAGACAGTAGAAAAGTTCCTATGCTATGTTTATAGTGCTGGGTACAATGCAATCAAATTTAACTGTCAATTTTTGCCTACAGATATGTATTCCTGAATAAACTTTGTTTCATCCTAGACACTGACTTGTGACTCTTTCTACATTAGCAATTTCCCTTGCGTCTTGTATGTTTCGTGACCACATGTGTATGGGTATGGACTTGTAGCAGAGAAAGTGAGGACAGACAGAGGGAAGGTTGGATAGATTCCCGCGGGATCTGGGATGGAGAGGGACAGCTCTGCTGCCACAATTATTGGTCTAACTTCATTGGGAAAAATACCAGTTTTTTGTAACAAATATTACAAATTTGCTTTTACATACACTTTTTAAAAAAAATTTTTTTTTCAGTACCAGAGATGGAACTCAACCTCGCACTTGCCAGGCAGGCACTTACACCACTGAGCTAATTCCCGGCCCTACATATACTTTTTAATCTAACAGACCATTTTTATTCTGTTTGAGATTTCCATGTACATTTTATAAATGGCTGTTGCTACATTAATAATGGTATTTCCATGTGATCATTTCCAAAAGTCTGTGTCTGTATGTTTTGTCACATGCAACACCAGTGATTAAATTATATCAGATAGAGTTGAAACTCTGTTAAACATTTCTCTGTATCTAAAATGTATTCTGCCAGGAGAGTAATTACAGGTGTTTGGTTAGTAACTTTAGAATCGCTTGGACAAGATATGTATCACCCACAAGTGAAAAGAGCGGACGTTTTTATCAGTTCACTGTTGACTGAGGTAGAAATGGAGAGGAGAATGGGGCTGGGTGGAGCACAGGCTCTTCATCTCATGGAAGCAGGAAGCACAGGGAGACAGGAGGAGATGCAGAAGGAGACACAGTTGTCCAGGGTCATCCCCGGGACTAGCCTCTGACCCCTACTCCAAGTGCACCCTGAGCTGCTGAGATGTTAGTGGAAAAATATCTTGATGGGAATGTGATAACTCGGACCCCGGATAAAATCCAGGAAAGCAAGAAATTAAAATTTGGGAAGCAAAGGCTTTATTAGGTAAAATCCAGGCCTGGTGACCAGTCTCTGGGAGCCAATTTGGAGACTGCGCACCTCACAGCTAAAAGTCAGGACTTTTTATCTTGTAAATCCACAAACAGCTGCTGGTCACACAATGTAAGGAGGGGATGGGGGTGTGACGCACTACAAAGCAAAAAGGGCAATTACAAGTCTCCCTGCATACTAGCAAGTTTAGATAAGAAGAAATCTTTTTCTTAGCAAAGAATAGAGAAGTCTAACAACAATTAACAACCTTAGTTACCTTACTTTAGCACCACAACTGTTATTTGTAGAGGGCAACAATGGTTAACATATCAATTAGGTAAGATTTTACAATTCTTTACAGAGGAGAGCATTGATTAACATATCAATCCTTTGCCCAGAGGGAAAGGAAAACACACATTTACAGCAAGGCCAAGTTACAGGTATTACTATGATACAAAGGAAGCTATTTTTGTGAAGAATGTACAATCTAATACAATCTAATGCAATTAACACAATTGTGATGGGCCACCGGGTCTTTTTGTCAGGAGCTATTACCTCAGGCCTTTGTTTTATGGCCTTTAGGAAGTTAAAACTTAACCTAGTTCGATTTGAAGGGAGAAGGGGAGGGGAAGCAGCAGGTGGGCTTATACCTTAGAACAGACCTTAGGATAGTTAGGGGGGCTTAGGTTATAACAGGAAGATGACCCCAAGGTGTGTTGACCACCCAAGGACTGTGATCTGAGTGTGAGTGTTTGAAGGTCATTCTAGATCTATGTCTCAGCAGGTGTAATCGTGCTGAGAACACAGAAATAAATGCCTTGGTTCATGAACACTTCTGTTTGTGAAAAATTAGTTTCACGAACTGAAGTGCTTTTTTTCAAATTTGGGGGTGATAAAGAGGAGCATGACTATCTTCTCAAGCATTTTGTAAGGAATTAATTTCTTGAACTGAGATAACACTGCATTATAATAACTACAATTTAATTAAAAATATGATTTCCATAATGCCCCAAAGTACAGCCTTTCACTTTAAAAACAGAAAAGAAAGGAAGGACGTGGATGCTTATGCTTGTAATGCCAGCCTGTGGGAGGCTGAGGTGGGAGGATCACTGTAAATTCAAGGTCAGTTGGGAGACAAATTGACTTAGGCATAGAGTCCCTGTCTCAAAAAGACAAAAAAGATATAAGAAACATAAAAAGAAGAAAAGAGAGAAGAACAGGGGACAAAACAGATTATATAGGCAAGAATAACTGTTGAACCCATGAAATGCTTGCTCTATCACAAATTAAGATTGAATTATAAATTAACTTCCCTAGTTTTAGAAAAATCTGTGCTTATGCTTGTTGATTTGCTCAGTGGTACAATTATTTCACTCCTAAAGGACATTAGGTTTCACTGGGTAAGTGCAAACTGACACTGTCAATATGCATCAAAAGATTGTAGGAAAAGAAAGGATTGAAGGCACCTACATTTGGAAGACACAGATATTTTGTAGGACAGGGGTTGAAATTGCACTCTTCTTGATTCTGAGGGTCAGGGAAGAAAACTCTGGGAGACGAAAATTTAACAGCATTTTGAATGATATCTCCACTTAAGGATAACCAGGCAAAGAAAATACAATCCTAGAACAATTCACTATTAAAATATTAAACTTCACACTAAGCAAGATTTCTCCTCGAGATAATTTTGAAACTCAGAAATTGTAAGAGGCTTGTTTCCTAGGATAGCAAGCAAATACCTTTTGAAACTTATTCATATCAAGGTCTTGAAAATTATCACAAGCATTCAGACTCCCTAAAGAGAAACAGGGTTAGCTGAACAAAGAGGATCTCTGACAGCCTGGGCTCAAAGGGAGGCAGAGACACCCCTCAGGGAAGGCTTGTGTGAGTCTTTGAGTGGATCAAGTCAATTAAATCCTTCCCTCCCTCTTTCAACTGTCATCTCTGCTTCCATTCTCTTCCTCTCTCTCTCTCTCTCTTCCTCCCTCTTTCTTTTCACCTCTTTTGTTTCTTTGTGCCTTCCTTCCTCTTTTCCCTTGGTTTCATTCTTTCTTCTTAATTGCTTTTTCTCCTGGTTGCTTGCTACCTCCTCTTTGTTTCTCATTCTCCCTCGCTTTGCAGTTTAGAATGGGCTAAAACTTCTGAGCTGAAGGGTCTGTCCCACCTCAGGCTCTAGAGAACTGGAATTACAAAGGTCGCCACTTTCAGCTCCATGTGACAACCAGGCACTTTAATAGCCAACTACAAAAGCCTCTATGATATTCTGGAACCTCTGTATTTTAAAAGGAAATTACGGGTTTGTGATAACCTATGGAAGTACGTATAGAAAGTATCAGTAAGAAAAAATTAACTAGTATGTGTTAAACATATGTCACCTTGCAGAGAAGGATGAAGCGCCGTCGCCCTACACTCCACTCTACTGCCACTGCAAACTGCGGTCTTATCCAGAGAAACACAGGCTGTGGCATAGCTATGGAGGTGAAATGCAGCTGGATACCTGCATGCTCTGGTGTTTCACTAGCCTTGCAGGTCTAGGGCCAGAGGTCTGATCATGGGTTCAGAGGGTAGCAGTATGCAGTGTGGTCTCTAGAGGGGATCGCCTTCTGAGAGCTGCAGCCATTGTTGATTCCCTATGGTCTTGTTTTGAATCACTCTATCATTTACATTGTTTTGTTGGTTGAAGTTTTATTCTCTTTGCTTTTGTTTGATTATGTCAAATCCAATGGCAGGAGTAGCTATTATTCAAATCACAAGACATAATATGGTACCAATTTTAAGTTTTATTGTTGGCTTTCATTGAAGTCCTTCATTGCATTCATTGCTTTGTTTTTATTGTTCTATTTTGTTTGATTTTCACTATATCCAAAGTTGTCTGCAGATATTTTGAAGACATCAAAAGGCATTATGGTGACTATTGTTGATTTCAAAATGGTTTTGAAGTTCTGTATATTTTACAATGCTTTGTTTTGCCTGGTCTTATTTTGTTTTGTCTTCTTTAAAATAAAATAAATAAATGAAACAAAGTGAAATTAATATTAATAAATTATTTTATATAATCTTAAACTAAGAAAAATAAACAGAAAGTTAAAAGATGAATAGAGAAAAGTTGAGTTTTTCAATTTTTCACAATAGATGATAAATTTACTTAGGAAAAAGGTAAATAAATCAATTGTAGATATTAAAAATAATGGAATGCAATAAAATAAAAATGAATGTTAATATACAGAAGGGAAAATGATCATTCATTTTGAGTTTTAATACACAGAAAATACGATATACAATGATAGTACTATAAAATCACCTGTACAAAAATACATACTGTAAAGACACTAAAATTACAAAGACCAGAAACATTAACTCATTGAAACAGATGGCATGAGTCAATGAAGCTGCAATGTCAGAAAATACAAAAGCTCACTGGGTCATGGAGCACGTGGAGGTAGAAAGCTAGGTTTTGGAACAGGGGTGTCTTCTCCATGAACCAGCAGCACTGCCCCTCCCGAACACCGGAACAGTGTGACTGTGCTCATAGATCAGTCAGGGCAACGCACAGGCTTCTGGGCAAGAGGAAATAGTGGGGACTGTGGACTATGCAGGTGTTCGGCTCAGTGCCTCAGCACTGGATTCCACAAGTACGGTGTGAAAGCCACACCAGATAGCAGGAGTGAATGTTTACTATAAAATACTAATTACCGAAAACCTGGGAAAAAAACCTGTGAAGATGTAATACCATAGAAATTATTGCCTCTTTTCTCACCTTTAGAGCAGGACTCTGTGATGCTTTCTCTTTGATTGTGTTTACTGATGTCGTACACTCACTGTGAACAGAGTTTATTTCTGGGCACTTTGTCTTTGACCTTGGCAATGCTTAAAGGTAAATTTGATGTTTAAAAAAACACCAACATAGAGCATATAAGATCCCACTTAGCCAGGGTATTTTTCACTCTGTCTACATATGTGTATGTGGAGGGCAAGCAACAGACACAAGGAAGTTTTGCACATAAAATGTACATTTTTCTGGAAAGCTTGAAAATAATTGTCCAAAGATTAGTTTAGATTAAATGTCCATTATGTACACATATAGTAGTACCCATAAATTGCCTGTAACTAGCTCATAAAAAAATTAAGTGGTTTGAAGGTACAAGTTGCTACTGGTAGGATTTGCATGAAAACACAAGGCAAGAAGGCAGTGATAGGAAGAGGGGAAAAGAGAAGAAAGTGAGGAAGGAAGGGAAAAGGGATGGATGGAAGGAGGCAGAGTAGGGAAAGAGAGCTAAGATGGGAGGAAATAAAGAGGGAAAAGGTATACCTAAGGAGTAATGAAAGCAAAGCAAACCTAAAGTAGAACACCTATTTTTATGGTTTAGACTATCACATGTGTTAAGGTCACATGTCTACAATTAACTAAATACAGAATGAGCCAGACGCTGGAACATAGAACAACAGTTTCATAATAAACTGAAATTATTACACAATGAATTCCTGACATAGTACTGAAATTATCCCAGTTACAAGGCCCTTGTTTTCCTAATATTACTGACATTGTCCAAACCACATTAATGAGATAATGTGACCCTATGCTGCCTGTAGTTTCCCTGACCAGCACAAAAGAGGTATAAAAGACCCTAGTAGTTCATTACAACCAGACTAACATAGCTGCCTCCTATTCCTTAACCTAATAGCCCACTCCTGAAACCATGTGCTCCTGCAGCAGCTACTATGGTAGCCTGGGCTATGGCTATGGCGGCCTAGGCTGTGGCTATGGCTGTGGTGGCTATGGTGGCTATGGTGGCTATGGTGGCTATGGTTATGGCTGTTGCCGCCCCCTCTGCTACAGAAGATACTGGTGCTATGGCTTCTACTGAGGAGTTCCCACAGCTTCACAGCCTGTAGATTAGAACCTGATAGTTTATGGTATTCATCTTCAGTGATGCTCACATGACAAAGTTTTACAGGCCTTTCAATGTCAACTACACATCGAACTATCTGGAAAACAAATAAACTGAAACATTCCATTTTGATTCATCAGTATCAACTGTTTTTTCTAGTTTGTAGAAAAGTTTCTGTATTCTCCGTATGAATCTATATAAAGCATGATAAACTTGGACTCCCAATTTTTTTATACAGACTTGTTTTTAACTAAACTATGTTTAATCACAAATATTGCTTTATTGCTGTTTAACTGCTTTAGCAATTTTGCTTGAAGATTTGTGTGTTTCTGTGTGATCAATCTCATGTGTGGTTGTGGTATCACGGGAGAGAAAGTGAGAAAGACAGAGGGGTAGGTAGCACAGAGAGCTCACAAGGGACCTAGAGATGCAGAGAGGTGCTTGTTTTTCCAATGAGTTGGCATCTGAACTGAAGGGGTAGAAATGTTAGCAATTTTGAAACAGATGATAGAAATTTTGTTTTATGGAGGCTTGAATCTCACCTAACTTTTCTTTGATTTCTACTTCATGTAAGTTTAAAAATGGTTTTTGTGTTAATTCCACTGATATCTGATTATTTCAAGAGAATTGTGTCTGTGTGCTTTGTTATTTCCAATACCAGTGTGTTGATTATGTCAGCTAGAGTTCTGCCTTTGGGAAATGTTACTCAGGTTTTAAAAAGTATTCTGCCTAAAGAATAATGTAGGTGTTTCTTACTTGCTTTTCAAGCCTGTGGGACACACATCTGACCGCTACCACTCAAAAGAAGAGAGGTTTCTCTTGGCTGTGGTGGACTAGCTTTAAATGTCATGCGACGGGTGTGGGTAGCACCTGCACTGTTCACCTCCTGACATCTGGGAAACAGAGAAAGGAGTCAGGGAAAGGGAGATCCCTCCCTTACACAACCCCAGGGAGCAGCTGATGAAGATGTCCCTTCTCCTAACTCCACATTCGGAAGCTTAGGAAACAGTAGATGATCCCACAGGTAGACCGAAGATGCCATAATCAGTACATTTCCAAAGACTCCACATTCTGCGTAATTGGGAATTTGAGGGAGCATTCTTGGTGATATCTTAACAGGTGACATCTTAATGGTATTTTCACATACTAAATAGCAACATAATAATGACATTCTAGTGTAAAAAAGCATAAGTTTAAGTACACTGTAAAATACTGTTTTTTTGTTTTAACTTGTAGAAAATAATATATTGCACTTTAGGTACATACGAAAAATAATGTTTTTCAAAATCATAAAATATTTGCTCAGTGATAAATGTACATGAGAATACTACTTTTATTTAATAGAATCCTGGTGTTCCACAAATGTATGTGCTTATGTATGCTGATTTCACCAGTAATGAAAATACATTTCTCCTAAATGATGTTAAATTTCACTTGGGAAATTCAAGCCCTAAATATCAAATGCAGTAATACTGGTTAAAGGTATTCATATTTTGAAGGTGGAGAATTTTTGAAGCATGGGGTGAAATTTCACTCTGCTTCATTCTAGAAGGTAAGAGGTTCCTAGGAGAAGTATAATCATCAGAAACTTGAATGGTAATCCCACCCGTGGATAACAAGACAAAGACAGAGACAAATCAAAACGCAAACCCAAAAACAGTGTGTGAGTGAAATTCTGAGCTTCACAATATGCCTGGTTTCTCCTTGAGATAATGAACATGTCTTGGGTTGAAGAAGTCTGGTTTCTAAGCTAATGGGCCATATCAAGGGCTTTAAAAAATAATCATGAACATTGGGTTTTGCTAAAAATAAAAACAACATTGAAAAAATGTGACTCCTGTAGGGTGCACCCAAAGAGATACAGACAGGTCCTGCATGACAACCTTATTTTATGTTACAGATTGTGATAATCAGATCAATAAGATATTTTATTTCTTAATTTTTTTCTTTTCTTCCTTTCTCCCCCCCCAGTCTCCTATCCCTGTCTCTCTCTCTCTCTCTCTCTCTCTCTCTCTCTCTCTCTCTCTCTTTCAGTCTCTCCCCTGTTTATCACTTGCTCTTTCTTTTTCCAGTGATCCTCATTTCCTATCCATAATGACCTGAACTACTGAGCAGAGGTGACTGTACTGCCTGAACTTCTGGAGCAACTGGAGGTACAGGCAAGTGTCACCACACGCAGCTCAATCAATCTGACATTTTAATTGCATAGGAGAAAACATAAAATCACAATGGTAAAGTATAACACTATTCTGGGTCATCTATAGTTTTAATTAAATGTACTTGACTTATGAACACCTTGGAAGCGTTAAAAGGAAGTAATAGACCATAAATGTTAACTGAAACATGAAAAACATATTGCAGCTTGCTGAGATGGATTCTGAGAACTTATAAACAATAAATGGAGGAAAATTAAAGGAAATTTGCTAAATGTGTACTGAAAAATTCACCAGAGAATCAAATGTAAATAATAGTTCTCCAAAATGTAAGATATTTATAAATCAATAAATTTATATGTATTATTACATTGAAACCTATGTTGATAAATTGTCAACTAAAGCAAAAATAAGAAAAATCTGAATCTACAATATTTAAAAGTATATAAAGAATGTGCTAGAACTCATGAAATTACAAAACATGCATATAAATGCAATGTGGCTAAGGAAGAAGATAAAATGGAAACTCTTTTTAAACAGGAAATATTGAATATTTTTTAAAAGCTCTTGAAAGGCATCAGTTCTCAAGTCCTAAAAAGTAGTTATTGACAAGAGAATGTCAATTCAAATTATATACGGACACAAATCAATACAAGAAAATTATGTTCAAAGTCAAAATCTTAATTGAGATCGATAAAACAAGTATGTTACTTACAGACACAAATAGTAAAGTTGGAAGCAAAACTTCTTTATATATCTAAAGGGATCTCTAAATACACTGATATGATAGGAACAGATCATAGATAACCACCAGTGGATAATTTCACAGTTAAAACTGCACAGAAAATAAAGTAAAAACATTATACTGAGAAATAGATATCGTTACACTAGAAATAAATAAAATAAACATAGACATCACAAGAAGAATAGAAAAAGATTCATGCTTTCACTTTTTATAGCATAAAATGATGGATTTATTTAGGAAAACGGAAAGTGACTCACACAACAAATGGACATTCAAGAAATGATGAAATTTAGATAAGAATGGATGTTAGCATCTATTGATAACAATAACTGTTTTTGAGGTGTCAACCTCCACAAAACAAGATACTTTAAAATAACTGTAAACGAATATACTAAGAGCTCTAAGGCACTTGATTTACCTAAAAGAACAAAGATTAAACTATTACAATTAGTGGCATAAGTCAATGAAGCTGGAAATGTCAGAAAATATGAAAGTTTAGCATGTAGTTGCACATGTGGAAGTAAAAGGCTGAATTTGGAACGGCAAGCTCCGTCACGTGAGACAGAAACACTGACTATGTTAGATCACCCGGAAGTACAGAAGTTTTTTCAGATTAATCAGGGGAAAGTAAACGCTTTCTATACAAGAATAAATACTTAACACTGTGCATATTGTAGGTCTACTGACTTCCACCACTGTGATGTCAAAGCAACACCTGACTCTGTGTACAAATAAGAATCTGAATGTTTTCCTATAAAATATTACTTACCCAAAAATAGGGAAAATGTTTATATAAAACTAAGCATACTAGGCAGCAGAAATTATTCTTTCTTCTCTCACCATTGGAATGGCGTATTTTTCTCCTTTCCCTTCAATTACTCTTGTCAATGTCTCTTGTTCTGGCCTCAAGGTGGGCAGACTTTATTTTTCCATCCTTGATTCTGGCCTTGGCAGTGTTGAAAAGTAAGCTCTAGTTAAAAAAAAAATAGATTGAAGATAGATGATTTAATTTAATGATGCTAAACTTTACAATTTAATCTGAAATGGAATAAGAAAAGAGAGCATAGAGCATAGATAGTTTCTGCCCATAAAATGAACATTGGTTTCCTGGAAAGCTTGAAATCATCCACTTATTGATAATCATAGATTAAAAATGCACTCAGTACACATATGATAGTAATTAGTCTTGGATTTCTATTAATAGCCACTAAGTAGCTTATTTCTCTTGAGTAAAGTGTAAATAAAAAGGTGATAATGAAAAAAATTGGAAAAGACAGAATAAGAAAAAGAGAGACAGAATGAAACAAAGAAGAAAAAGAAAAAAGAGAAAGGGAAAGAAGAAAAGAAGAGAAAGGGATAGAAAGAATAAAAGAGGTAGATGAAAGAGATAAAAAGAAGAAGGAAGGAAGGAAGGGAGAAAGAAAGAAAGAAAGAAAGAAAGAAAGAAAGAAAGAAAGAAAGAAAGAAAGAAAGAAGGAAGAAAGGCGACATAGATGGATGGAGGGAAAAATATGTACCTCAGGAATAATGGAAACGGAGCAAAGGTGAAAATTACACACCTCATTTTTATGATTTGTGCCATAACATGTAGTCAGGTCATATGTCTACAATTAAATGTAGAATGAAGACAAACTTAAAAGTAGAACAAAAGATTTATTTTAAAAGGCCTTAATTGGGTGATGGATTCCTGATAGAATCACAAGGTCCTTGTTTTCTCAACAAGTATAGACAATGGTGACCACATCTGAAGCTCATTGGTGAGTTAACAGGAAGCTGTGCTGCCTGTGGTTTCCCGCCCACCTCCAAGGAGGTATAAAAGACCCTCACAGACAAGGACATCCAGACACAAGACAGCTGCTTCAGATCCTCAACAGAACAGTCCACTCCTGACACCATGTGCTACTACGGCAACTACTATGGTGGCCTGGGCTGTGGCTATGGCTGTGGCTGTGGCTATGGTGGCCTGTGCTGTGGCTATGGTAGCTATGGCGGCTATGGTTACGGCTGTTGCCGCCCCCTGTGCTGTAGAAGATACTGGTCCTATGGCTTCTACTGAGGAAGTCTCACAGCTCCTTAGCCTATTGGCTACCACCTTCTGTTTCCTGGTATTAACTCCAATATTCTTTAGATCGAGCTCTATAAAACAGCTTCAGTCTCCTACTACACATTAAACTATGTTTTAAACAATGAACTTTTGATTCACCAGTATCAGTCAGTTTGCGTGGAAGATTGTAGAAGAGTTTGTGTACTATGTTTGCCATGCTGGGTAGAATGTAATCAAATTTAACTGTCAATTACTGCATACAAATATGTATACTGAATAAACTTTCTTTCCCCATAGACATTGAGTTGTTACTCTTTCTACATTAGCAATTTTCCTTCTGGGCTTGTGTGTATGTGTCTTCAATGCTTTGTGATCTCAAGTGTGTGGGTGTGAAGCTGTAGCTGAGAAACTGAGAAGGACAGACAGAGGGAAGGTACGCTAGATTCCTCTGGGAGCAGGGAAGGAGATAGAAAGCCCTGCTGCCACAATTATTACTCTAACTTCAATGGGCAAAATACCAATTTTTTGTAACAAATGTTACAAATTTGTTTCTAAGTATACTTTTTAATTTCACAGGCCATTTTCATGTGCTTGTGTGAACCATGTAGATTTTAAATATGTTTGTTGCTACAATAATAATGGTATTTTCATCTCATCCTTTCCAAAAATTTGTGTTTGTATGGTCAGGTGCAGCACCAGTGATTGAATCATATCAGACAGAGTTGTGCCTCTGTTAAACATTTCTCAGTATCTAAAAAGTATTCTGCCTGGAGAGTAATTACAGGTGTTTTGTTAGTCACTTTAGAATTGCTTGGACAAAATACCTATCACCCACTGCTAAGAGAAGTGGTTTGTATCAGTTCACTGTTGACTGACACTAAGGTAGAAATGGTGAGGAGAAGGGCCCTGGGTGGAGCACAGGCTCTTCATCTCACGGAAGCAGGAAGCAGAGGGAGACAGGAGGAGCTGCAGAAGGAGACACAGCTGTCCAGGGACACGCACTGACCAGCCTCTGAACTCTCTGCAAGTGCACCCTCAGTTGCTGAAACAGTAATGGATGAATATCCTGATAAGAAGAGGACCCCATGGTCTACTGACCACTCAAGGGCTGTGATCTGAGTGTGTGAGTGTTTGAAGGTCATTCTAGATCTATATCACAATGGGAGCAATCATACTGAGAACACAGAAACGCCTCAGTTCATGAACACTTCTGTTTGTGAAAAATTAGTTTCATGAACGGAAGTGGTGGGCAAACTTTGGCTTCCCTTTTTGAATTCCATGGTGCTGATAAACAGGAGCATGACCAGCTTCTCAGTGATCATGGAATGAAATAATTTCTTGAACTGAGATACCACTTCATTATAAAGCAGCATTCTAACTAAAATTATGGTTCCTATAACATTCCAAGGTACAGCATTTCATTTCAAATATTTAGAAAAGAAAATAAGGATGTGGAGGAACATGCCTGTAATCCCAGATCTTGGGAAATTGAGGCAGAAGGATCACAGTAAATTCAAGGTCAGGCTGGGGTACAACAAAATCAGAATATACATTCTTCTCAGCAGTACATGAGTCATTCTATAAGAGTCCATATACTAGCCGACACAACATATTTAAATAAATAAAAAGAGTTGAAATTATCCCATGCATGTTTTCCGATCTTCGGGATGCCATGAAACCAGAAATTAATGGTAGAAGAAACTGCAAACAACCCACAAACACATGGAAATTGAATAACACACTTCTGAGCAATCAGTGGGTCACAGGAGAAATTAAAGAAGAATTTAAACAATACTTACAGGCAAATGAAAATACAATTCAACATACGGGAATCTGTGGGAATGCTATGAAAGCTGTCCTCAGAGGAAAATTTATTTCACTGAGTTCCCACATCATGGAAACAGAACAAATACAAATACATAACCTAATGCTACACCTCAAACATAGAAAAAGAAGAGCAAGTCAAACCCAATGCCAAATGAAGGAGGAAATTATAAAAATCAGCAGAGAAATTAATGCAATAGAGACTAAGCAAACAATCCAAAGAATTAATGAATCAAAGAGTTAGTTCTTTGAAAGAACAAATAATATCAATAAGTGCCTAGCCAACCTTATTTTTTTAAAATAAGGGGGGAAAAAGCTCAAATTCCAGCATAGTGAAAAGAATACCCACAAACTGGGAAAAAAAATCTTAGTGAACTGTCCCTCAGACAAAGGACTTCTGTCTAAAACATATAAAGAATTTAAAAAAATAGTATCCCCAAAATTCAAAGATGCAGTCCAAAAATGGGCATCTGAGATGAACACACAGTTCTCAGATGAAGAAATACATATGGCAAATAAATACATTTAAAATGTTCATCATCATTATGCATTAGAGAAATGCAAATTAAAACCACACTGAGATTCCATCTCACTGCTAGAAGAATGGCCAGGATCAAGGAGTCTACCAACAACAAATGCTGGAGAGGCTGTGGGGGAAAAGGAACTCTCCTGCACTGTTGGTGGGAATATAGACTGGTGCAACCATTGTGGAAGTCAGTCTGGATATTTCTCAAAAAGGTGGCATTGGAAGTCTCATTTTTTTCCCACTATTCCATTTGCAGACATATTTCCAGAAAAAATGAAAGCATCATACCACAGTAATACATGTGCATCCATGTTTATAGCAGCACAATTTTTAATAGCCAGATCTAAGTTGATGGACAACCTAAGTATCCATCAACTGAGGAATAGATAAAAAAAAAAGTTGTGGTATTTTTATACAATGGACAACTACTCAGCTATAAAAAATGATCATATTGAGATATTTTTAAATAAATGGACGCAGCTTGAAACTATACTCATAAGGGAAATAAATCAAACTCACACGTATAAATACCAAGTAGTTCTCCTAGTGTAAGAAATGGTAAGAATACATAAAAGTATGTGGCAATCATGATTCCCCATTATATTGTTTTGAAGCCTTATAATATTTTCATTCTTTAGTTGTATGGTTTTATTCTGGGTTGTTTGATTTTATTGTCTGTGATGATATGAACAGCTATTTTGAAGAAAACAAGACATTATAATAGCTAGTGCTGATTTAATATCATTTTGTTTTGAAGTCCCACCAAGCTTTTCTTCTTCTGTCTCCATCGGTTTTATCATGTTGTGTTTTATTCGATTTTATTACATGTGATAGTATAAACAAAAATTTTTTATGGACAAGGAGATAATATAGTAACTATTGTTCATTTTCTGTTAGTTGGTTCTGAATACCCTGTATTACTTTCATTCTCTTGAATGGTTTTACACTGTTTTGTTATGTTTGATACTATAGTGCATGAAGGTATACTCAAATATTTCAAGGAAAGAGACACTATGGTAGCGACTCTTATGTCAGGTTGTCTTGTTGCTAAAATAGTTCTGTTCTGGCCTGTTTCATTATGTTCTCTTTTATTTTAATCTTTTTTTAATTTAAAAAAAAGGCAAAAAAAATCAACATGGTACTGGAATAAAAATAGATCTGAAGATCACTGGAATAGATTAGAAGATACAACCACAAATGCAAACACATTCAACCACCTTATCTTTGATAAAGGGGCCAAACAGGTTCACTGGAAGAATGACAGTCTCTAATAAATGGCGGTGGAAAAACTGGCTCCCCGTATGCTGAAAACTGAAACTAGACCCATGCCTATCACCATGTGTTAAATTAAAATCTAAATGGATCAAAGATCTGAATATTAAAACAAAAACACTAAATTTGTTAGAAAACAAATTAGGTAAAAATCTTGAAGACATGTAGGAAAGTAGAGAATTCATGAACAGCAATCAAACAGCATGGGAATTACTTCCCAGAATCAATAACTGGCATCATGTCTTATAAAAAGTTTCTGCAAATCAAAAAATTCTCCAGCATGGTGAAAAGAAAACCTACAAAATGGGAAAAAAAATCTAATGAACTGTCCCTCAGACAAAGGACTTCTGTCTACAACATATAAAGAATTAAAGAAATCAGACCCCCAAAATTTGAAGATCCAATCCAAAAATGGGCATCTGAGATAAATACACAGTTCTCAGATGAAGAAATACAAATGACAAATGAATATAAGAAAAAATACCCCTCATTTGTCATCAGAGAAATGCAAATTAAAACAACGCTGAGATTCCATCTCACTCCGGAAGGAATGACCAGGATCAAGAAAACTACCAACAACAAATGCTGGAGAGGCTGCAGGGAAAAAGGAACTCTCTTGCACTGTTGGTGGAAGTGTAGACCAGTATAACCACTGTGGACAGCCTAAACATTCCTCAAAAAGTGGTCTTGGAAGTCCCATTTGACCCATCTATTCAACTTTTAGGCATTTTTCCCAGAAGAACTGAAAACATCATACCAGAGTTATATACATGTTTATAGCAGCACAATTTGTACCAGATCTTGGAAACAACCTAAGTGTCCATCAACTGAGGAATGGATAAAAGAGTTGTGGTATTTTTATACAAGAGTATTACTCAGCTATAAAGAATGATCACATTGAGATATTTATAAATAAATGGATGCAACTTGAGACCATACTCAAGCGAAATAAATCAAACTCACATGTATATATACTGTATTGTCTCCCTAGTAAGAAATGGTTGGTAAAAGTACATAAGATTTTATGGTAATCATTATTCGCCATTACATTGTTTTGAAGACTTAAATGTTTTCATTCATTTTCATTAATTGTAATGGTTTTATTCTGGTTTGTTTGATTTTGTTATCTGTGCTGATATGAGCAGCTATTTTGAAGAAACCCAGACATTTTAATAGCCATTGCTGCTTTAATATCATCTGGCTTTGAAGTCCTACCATGCTTTTGTTCTGATTTCATTGGTTCTATCATGTTGTAACTTATTGGATTTTATTATGTGTGATAGTATAAACAAATTTTTTATGGAAAATGAGATAAAAACACAAAGATTGAGCATGTAAGATCCCAATTATCCTCTATCTTTCACTCTATCTACATGTGTGTATGTGGAGGGCAAGCCACACAGAGCACAGGGAGTTTTTGCCCATAAATTGTACATTTTCTGGAAAGGTTGTAATTAATTGTTCTAATAATAAGTTTAGATTAAATATCCATTGTATTCACATATAAAATTATCTAACCATATTTACACTAGTAATTGCCAGTAACTTACTCATAAAAAACTAAGCAAGTATGAAGATATAAGTTGCTCCTGAGATGATTTGCAAGAAAGCACAAAGCAAGAGGGTAGCGTTAGGAAGAGAGGAAAAAAGAAAGGAAAGAAAGGGAGAAAGGAGCAGAGGAAGAGATGGATGGAAGGAGGTAGGATGGGGAAACAGAGGGAAGATGGGAAGAAACAATGTGGGAAAATGTAACCTGAGGAGTAATGAAAACAAAGCAAATAAAAACAGAACACTTGTTTTTGTGGTTTGCACGATAATATGTAATAAGTTCACATATCCACAATTAACTAAATATAGAATGAACCAGATGCTTGAAAATACAACAGTTTCATAATAAAGGCTCATTATTCAACAATGGATCCCTGACATAGTAGCAAAATTATCTCAGTTACAAGGCCCTTGTTTTCCTAATAAATATTTCTGACATGGTCTGAATCATATGAGTGAGATAATGTGACCCCGCTTTCCCTGTGGTTTCTCTGCCCAGCACCCAAGAGGTATAAAAGGCCCTGGCAGATGATGACAATCAGACTCACATACCTGCTTCCAGATCCTCAACGGAACAGCTCACTCCTGACATCATGTGCTACTGCAGAAGCTACTATGGTGGTCTGGGCTATGGCTATGGTGGCCTGGGCTATGGCTATGGTGGCTATGGTGGCTATGGTTATGGCTGTTGCAGCCCCCTGTGCTACAGAAGATACTGGTCCTATGGCTTCTACTAGGAGTTTACACAGCTTCACAGCCTGTAGATTAGAACCTGGTGTTTTATGAAATTTATCTCCAATGCTCCTCACATGACAAATTTTAAATGTCTTTGAATGCCAACTACATATGAAAATCTAAAAAATAATAAACTGCAACATTCCATTTTGATTCATCAGTATCAATTGTTTTATTTTACTTTTTTGTAGTTTTTGGAAGAGTTTCTGTAATCTCCCCATGAGGCTATATAACATATGATGAACTTGGACTCCCAATTTTGTATACAGATTTATTTTTAAATAAATTATATTTAATCACAAATATTGCTTTGTAGTTGTTCAAGTACTTTGGCAAATTTGAAAACAGGTTTGTGTGTTTTTGTGTGATTAATCACATGTGTGGCTGTGGTGTGATGGGACAGAAAGTGAGAAAGATGGGAGGGTAGGCAGCACAGAGAGAGCACCTGGACCTAGAGAGGTAGAGAGGTGCTTGTTTTTCCCTTAAACTGCCATCTAAACTGGATGGGTGGAAATACTAGCATTTTTGAAACACATGACAGAAGTTTGGTGGTTTTAATCTCACCTAAATTTTCTTTGAGTTACTCTTCATGTAATTTTTAAAAGTGGTTTGTGGTATAAATTGTTTTCATATCCAATTATTTCAAAATGTTCATATCCGTGTGCTTTGTTTCCAATACCACTGTGTTGACAATGTCAACTAGAGCTCTGCGTTTGTAAAATATCTCTCCGGTTTTTAAAAATATTTTGCCTGGAGAATGATATAGGTGTTTTCTTAGTTGATTATCAAGCCTATGGGACACACATCTGAAAACTACCTTTCCACAGAGGAGAGGTTCTCTTGGCTTGTTGTTGACTGGTGTTAAGTGTAACGGGATGGTTGTGGTTTGACCTGAGCTTCTCACCTCCTGACATCTGAAAAACAGAGTCAGGGAAAGAGGGATTATTCAGCTACAGAACCCCAGGGAGCAGGCTCTGAAGAGGTCCCTTCTCCTGACTCCTTCAGTCACTTAAAAAATTGTAGAGGAGCACACTGGTAAGCAGAAGATCACATAATCTGTACACTACCAAAGATTCCAGTGCTGAGCAACTGAGAATTTGAGGGAGCATTCTACGTGATATCTTAACAGGTGACACCTTAACGGTGTTTTCATATAGGAAATAACAACATAATAATGAGATACTCGCCTAAAAACATGAGTGCAAGTAGCATCCTACAATATGGATTTGTTTTAACTTGTAGAAAATAATATTTGCACTGTACACACAAAAGAAGAAAAATGTTTTTCAAAATCATGAGGTATTTGCTCAGTGACAAATGAACATGAGAATACTCCTTTTACTAAATGGAATCCTGGCGTTTCACAGTTGTATGTGCTTATGTGTGCTGATTTGACCCGTACTGAAAATACATTTCTCCTAAAATGTGTTGTTTAAATTTGAAAATTCAAACCTTCAATATCAAACGCAGTAAAACCCAAGTTTATAGGGATTCATGTTTGAAGGCAGAGAATATTTGGAGCATGGATTAAAATTTCACTCCGCTTGATTCTAGAAGGAAAGAGACTGCTGAGAGAAGTGTAATCGGCAGAAATTTCAATGGTAACTCCACCCATGGATAACAAATCAGAGATGGAGACAAATGAAAACAAAACCTGAAAACACTGTGCCAGTGAAATACTGAGTTTCACAACAAGCAAGCTTTCTCTTTGAGATAATGAAAATGTCTTGGGTTGCAGGAGTCGAGTTTTTAAGCTAATTAGCCATATCAAGAGTTTACAAACTAATCATTAGCATGGGAGTTTAGCAAATAAATCCACAAGGAGAAAAACTATCTCCTGTATAGAGGGATCAAAGAGACACAGCCAGATCCTACATAAAAGCCCTATTTTATGTTAGAGTTTGGGATAATCAGATCAATAAGAAATTTTGTATCTTAATTCTTTTCCTTTCTTCCTCTCTCTCCTACTCTCATCTTTTCTCTTCCCCTGTCCTCTTCTATTTCCTTTCCTTTTCTCTCCCCACATGTTCCCTCCATTCTGTCTTCTCTCCCCATCTTGTTTACTGTTTGCTCTTATTTGTTTTTTAGATTGATCTTTATTTTCTATCCAGAATGCCTTGAACAACTGAGCTCACGTGATTGTACTACCTAAGCCTCTGGAGCAACTGGAGGTACAGGCAAGTGTCACCACATGCAGCTTAATTAATCTGACATTTTAATAGCTAATGAGAAAACATACAATCTCAATGGTACATTATAACACTATTTAGATAATCTATAATTTTAATTAAATGTATTGAACTTATGAACCTCATTGAAGCATTTAAAGGAGGTAATAGCAAATAAATGTTAACTAAAATAGGAAAAAGAGGGGCTGGGGATTTAGATCAGTTGCATAAGTGCCTGCCTTGCAAGCAGGCAGTCATGAGTTCGATCCCTGGTACCCATAAAAATGAAAAAGACCAAAAAAAAAAAAATAGGAAAAAGAGATTGGGACTTGCTAAGATGGAATTTTAGAACTTATACATGACACAAGGAGGAAAATAAAGGAAATCTGCTAAATGTGTGTAGAAATATTTGCCACAGATTCAAATGTAAATTATAGTTCTGAAAAATGTAAGATGTTTATTAAATCAATATATTTTTATGAACAATTTATACAGAAAACTATGTTGAAATTGTCAGTTAAGCAAAAATAAGAAACATGTAAATATTGAAAAATGTATAAAGAACGTTCTAAAACTCATGAAATTATACATTATTAGTGGAATGCAGTCAAGAAAGAAGATAAAGTAGAAATCATTGTTAAACAGGAAAATGTTGAATATTTTTCAAAAATTGGTGAAAGACATCAGTCCACAAGTCCTATAATATATTCAACAAAAGAAAGTCAATTCAGATTACACACAGACACATCAATATATGAAAATTATGCTCAAAATCAACATATTAATTGAGGTATATAAAACAAGTGTGTTACCTACCAAGACGAATAATAACGGTGGCAGTAAAACTCCTTTACATATATCTAAACTGACCGCTAAGTGCACTGATGTGACAAGGACAGATCATAGAGACCACCAGTCACTGAGTTCACAGTCTAAACTGCACACATAACAAAGTAAAAACATCATACTGGGAAATATAAAATGTTGTGCTAAACATAAAGAAAAGAAACATAGACATCACAAGAAGAATAGAAAACTCATTTTTCACTTTTCATAACATAATATGATGCGTTTATTTAGGAAAAAGGAAAGTGACTCAGACAAACATGGACATTCACAAAATGATGAAATTAAGAAAACAATGAATGTTAATAACTATACATTAAAATGATCTTTCAGGTGTCAGTCTCCACAGAACAAGATATTTTAAAGAGCCATAAAAGAATATAGTCAGAGCTTTAAGGCCCTACATTTACCTAAAAGAACAAAGATTAACCTATTATGATCAGTGTTGTAAGTCAATGTAGCTAGAAATGGCAGAAAACATGTAAGTTTAGTGTGCAGTGCACATGTGGAGGTACACAGCTGAATTTGGAATGGCAAGCTCTATTCCATGAGCAGTGACACTGACTGCGTTGGAGCACCCAAAAAGTATGGCAGTTCTTAGAGATTAATCAGGGGAAAGAAAATGCTTTGTACACAAGAAAAAATGCTTAACACTGTGCATTGTGCAGTTACTGACTTCCACCGTTGCAGTGGCAAAGCAACACCTGACTCTACATAAAAAATGAACAGGAATGTTTTCCTATAAAATATTATTTACTTAAAAATATGGAAAAGTATTTGTATAAAACTAAGGATATTAGGCAGCAGAAATTATTTTTCTTTCTCTCCACAGTAGAATGACACTTTTTAATCTTTCCCTTCCATTACACTTGTCAATGTCCCTTGTTATGGCCTCATACGGGGAAGGGTGGATGTTTGTATCAGTTGTTTCTGACCTTGGCCATGTTAAAAAGTAAGCTCTAGTTTAAAAAAATAACTTGAGGATAGATGATGTAATTTAGCGATGCTTTATAATTTATTCTAAAATATATTAGTATAAACTGAGAAAAAGGTGCATAGACCATAGATACTTTCTTCCCAGAAAATAAACTTTTGTTTTCTGGACATCTTGAAATGATCTACACATTTGTAACTGTAGATTAATTATCCACTCAGTATACATGATACAGTAACTGGCCATGGATTTACCAGTAATAGAAGTATGAAAACATGATATTGATAAGATTTTCAAGAAAAGACAATAAGAAAGAAAGAAGGGAGAAAAAAGAAAGGGAGAGAGGAAAAGAAGAGACGGATGGATGGAGGGAAAATTTTTACCTCAGGAGTAATGAAAATGAAGCAAAGGTACAAATTAAATACCTCATTTTTAAGATTTTCATCATAACATGTAGTCAGGTCATATGTCTGCAATTAAATGTAGAATGAAGACAATCTTAAAAATAGAACAAAGGATTTATTTTATAGGGCCTTAATTGGGGGAAGGATTCCTGATGCAAGAGCAAAATTATGTCCATCACACGGACCTTGTTTTCTCAACAAGTATAGACAATGGTGACCACATCTGAAGCTCATTGGTGAGTTAACAGGAAGCTGTGCTGCCTGTGGTTTCCTGCCCACCTCCAAGGAGGTATAAAAGACCCTCACAGACAGGGACATCCAGACACAAGACAGCTGCTTCAGATCCTGAACAGAACAGTCCACTCCTGACATCATGTGCTACTACGGCAACTACTATGGTGGCCTGGGCTGTGGCTATGGCTGTGGCTTAGGCTGTGGCTATGGCTATGGTGGCTATGGTAGCTATGGCTGCTATGGTTACGGCTGTTGCCGCCCCCTGTGCTGTAGAAGATACTGGTCCTATGGCTTCTACTGAGGAATTCTCACAGCTTCTTAGCCTATTGGCTACCAACTTCTGTTGTCCTGGGATTATCTCCAGTGTTCTGCAGATGGAGCATTTTTAAATAGCTTCAGTCTCCTACTACACACTACACTAGTTTAGAAAATGAACTTTAAAAAACCAGTATCAGTTAGATTATGTGGCAGATAGTAGAAAAGTTTCTGTACTATGTTCATAATGCTGGGTAGAATGCAATCAAATTTAACTGTCAAGTTTTGCGTACAGATATGTATTATTGAATAAACTTTCATTCGTCACAGACATTGACTCGTTACTCTTTATTCATAAGCACTTTTCCTCCTGTGTTTGTATGTTTATGTGTGTTGAATGTTTTGTGATCTCGTGTGTGTGGGTGTGAGAATGTGAGAAGGACAGATAGAAGGGAAGGTGTGACACATTCCTATGGGAGTTTGGGAAGCAGAAGGAAGGCCCCATTGCCACAGTTATTGCTCTAACTGCAATGGGAAAAGAGCATTTTTTGTAACAAGTGTTGCAAATTTGTTTCTATGTATGCTTTTTATTCTCACAGATCATTTTGCTTTGTTTATGCTGGCCATCTAGATTTTAAAATACTTGTTGGTACAATAATAACGGTGTTTCCATCTGATCATTTCCAAAACTTTGTGTCTGTATGTTTTGTCGCATATAACACCAGTGATTGACTTATATCAGATAGATTTGAGCCTGTGTTAAAGATTTCTCCATATCTAAAAAGTCTTCTGCCTGGAGAGTAATTACAGATGTTTTGTTTTAGTTACTTTACAAATGCTTGGACAAAATATCTATTACCCACAATTGAAATTTGAGATGTTCACATCGGGTCGTTGTTGACAGGCACTGAGGTAGAAATGCTGAGGATAAGGGGCCTGGGTAGAGCACAGGCTCTTCATCTCATGGCATCCGGAAGCAGAGGGAGACAGGAGGAGATGCAGAAGGAGACACAGCTGTCCAGAAACACTCCAGTGATCAGCCTCTGACCCCTCCTCCAAGGGCACCCTCAGCTGCTGGGATATTAATGGATGACTATCCTGATGAGAAGAGGACCCCACGATCTACTGTCCACCCAAGGGCTGTGATCTGAGTGCGTGAGTGTTTGGGGGTCACTCTACATTTATATCACAATGGGGGCAATCATTCAGAGAAAACACAAATGTCTCGGTTCATGAACCCTTCTGTTTGTGAACAATTAGTTTCATGAACCAAAGTGTTTGACAAAATTTGGCTTCTCTTTTTGAACTCTAGGAGGTGATAAAGACAAGCTTGATAATCTCAAGAATCATGGAATGAATTAATTTCTTGAACTGAGATACCTCTGTCTTATAATAACAGCACTCTAACTAAAATATAGTTTCTATAACTTTCCAAAATACAGCATTTCTTTTTAAATATTTAGAAAAGAAAGGAAGCATGTGGATCCGTATGCCTCTAATCCCAGCACTTGGGAGGCTGAGACAGAAGGAGCACTGTAAATTCAAGGTCAGTTTGGGATACAAAGTGAGTTAGGAATAGAGTCCCTGTCTCAAAAAGACAAAAAAGACATAAGAAAGATAAAATGAAGAAAAAAGAAGAGAAGAGAAAAGACAGAAGAAGACAGATTATACAGGCAACAATAATTGTTGAAACCATGAAATGCTTGCTCAATAACAAATTAAGATTGAAGTATAAATTAATTTTCCTAGTCTTAGAAAAATCTGTGTTTATTCTTGTTGATTTGCTCAATTGTACAATTATTTTATTCCTAAAGGACATTGGGTTTCACTTGGAAAGTGCAGACTGACACTGTCAACATCAACAAAAGATGGCAGAAAAAGCAACGACTGAAGGAACCTACATTTGGAGATGGAGATATTTTGAAGACAGGGGTTGAAATTGCACTCTTCTTGATTCTGATGATCAGGGAAGAAACCTTTGAGAGAAGAAAATTGAGCAACAGTTTGAATGCTACCCCACTTAAGGATAGCAAGACAGAAGATAACACAATCCTGAGAATAATTCACTATTAAACTATTAAACTTCACATTAAGCAAGTTTTCTCCTTGAGATAATTTAAACTCTGAAGATGCAAGAGGCTTGTTTCCTAAGCAAGCAAATATCACTGGAAATTTGTTCATATCAAGGTTTTAATAGCATGGTAGGACTTAAGAATAATGATATTAAATCAGCACTGGCTATTAAAATGTCTTGCTTTTTTCAAAATAGCTGTTCATATTATCACAGATAATAAAACCAAACAAACCAGGATAAAACCATTCCAACTAATGAATGAAAACATTATAAGTCTTCAAAGCAATGTAATAGGAAATCATGAGTACCATAAACTTTTATGTACCCTTACCATTTCTTACACCAGGGAGACTATACAGTATTTATACATGTGAGTTTGATTTATTTTGCTTATGAGTATGGTTTCAAGTTGCGTCCATTTATTTATAAATATCTTAATGTGATCATTCTTTAGAGCAGAGTAGTACTCCATTGTATAAAAATACCAGAGCTTTTTATCCATTCCTCAGTTATTGGACACTTAGGTTGTTTAGAAGATCTGGCTATTACAATTGTGCTGCTATAAACATGGGTGCACATATATCACTGTGGTATGATGCTTTCAGTTCTTCTGGGAATATGCCTAGAAGTGGAATACCTGGGTCAAATGGGGCTTCCAGTCCCAGCTTTCTGAGAAATCTCCAGACTGACCTCCACAATGGTTGCACCATTCTACACTCCCACCAACAGTGCAGGAGAGCTCCTTTTTCCCCACAGCCTCAACAGCATTAGTTGCTGGTAATTTTCTTGATCCTGGCCATTCTTTCAGGAGTGTGATGGAATATCAGTGTGATTTTAATTTGCATTTCTCTAGTGACTAATGATGATGAACATTTTTTCATGTATTTATTTGCCATTTGTATTTTTTCATCTGAGAACTGTGTATTCATCTCAGATGCCCATTTTTGGATTGGGGCTTTGAATTTTGGGGTCTGATTTATTTTTAATTCTTTATATGTTTTAGACAGAAGTCCTTTGTCTGATGGACAGATCACTAAGATTTTTTTTCCCAGTTTGTGGGTATTCTTTTCACTATGTTGGAGATTTCTTCCAACATGCAGAAACTCTTTATTAAGATGTGATCCCAGTTATTGAGTCTGGGAAGTATTTCCTGTGTGGTTTGATTCCTGTTCATGAATTCTCTACCTACTTCTATGTCTATATATAATAACTTCAGCAATGCAGCTGGATACAAAATCAATACTCAAAAATCAATAGCATTCCTATACACTAACAACAAAATCACTGAAAGAGAAATGAGAAGCCACACCCTTTAAACTAGCATCCAAGTAAATGAAATACTTAGGAATCAATCTCACAAAAGAAGTAAAAGATCTACAGAGAGAAAATAATAATGCCCTGAAAAAAATCAAAGATGATCTCAGAAAATGGAAAGGCATCCCTTGTTCATGGATAGCAAGGTAAATATTGTGAAAATGGCCATTCTCCCAAAACTGTTATACAGATTTGATGCAATCACAATGAAAATACCATCAACATACATCATAGATCTAGAGAAATCACTCCTAAAATTCATCTGGAACCAGAAGTGACCTAGAATAGCCAAGACAATTCTAAGCAGCAAAGAGAAGGCAGGACACATCACAATTCCTTCTTTGAAGTTATACTACAAAGCAACTGTAATAAAGTAAAAATGGTACTGGGAAAAAAAAACAGAGCCGGAGAAAAATGGAATAAATTAGAAGATACAACCACAACTACAAACACACTCAACCACCTTATCTTTGATTAAGGGGCCAAACGTGTTCACTGGAAGAACGACAGTCTCTTTAATAAATGGTGCTGGAAAAACTGGCTCTCCATATGCCAAAAACTAAAACTAGACCCATGCCTATCACCATATACTAAATTAAAATCTAAATGAATCAAAGATCTGAATAGTAAAAGAGAAACACTAAATCTGTTGGAAGAGAAATTGGGTAAAATTCTTAGTTGATTTTCAAGCCTTATGGGACACACATCTGACACCTACAGCTTAAAGAGGAGAGCTTTCCCTTGGCTTCTGGTTGGCTGGTGTTAAATGTCACGTGATGGGTGTGGGTAGAGCCTGAGCTTGTCACCTCTTGATGTCCAGGAAACAGAGGAAGGTGCAGTCAGGGAAAGAGAGATCTTTCCTTTCCGCAATGCCAGGGAGCAATCTCTAGAAAGGTTCCTTCCCATAACTCCACACTCAGAAGCTTAAAACAGAATAGATGAGAACACTGGTAGGCAGAAGACCCAATAACCAGTACACTTCCATAGACTGTGCATTCTGAGTAAATGAGAATTTGGGGGAGCACATAAGGGGAAATCTTAACAGGTGATATCTTAATGGTATTTTCAGATAGGAAATAACATCATAATAATTCTGGCCGAAAAGCATGACTTCAAGCAGCACCTTAAAATATCGCTTTCTGTTTTAACTTGTAGAAACTAATATATCCACTGTATGTATGTAACAAGAAAAATGTTTTTCAAAGTCATAAGATATTTGCTCAGTGACAAATGAACATGAGAATACTACTTTTATTAAATGGCCTACAGGTGTTTCACAAATGTATATGCTTATGTTTGCTGATTTCACCAGTACTGAAAATGCATTCATCCTAAAATGTGTTAAGTTTCACTTGGAAATCTCAATGGTAAAGTATAATGTTATTCTGGATAATCAGTAATTTTAGTTAAATATATTGGGCTTACGAACATCATGGAAGCATTTAAAGGAAATAATAGACAATAAATGTTCACTAAAACAGGAAAAACATATTGGAGCTTGCTGAGAAGATTTTTAGAACCTATAAATAAAAGTCAATGAAAATTAAATCTAAAATAGATTTGTATGGAGTGAGAAAAAGACGGCATAGAACATAGTTTCTGCCCACAAAATAAATGTTTATTTTCTGGAAAAGCTCGAAGTCATCTACTTATTGGTAAGTATAGATTAAATATCTACTCAGTATACATATGACAGCAACTAGCCATGGATTTACCAGTAATGGCCAGTAAGTAGCTCTTTTCTCTTGGGCAAAGTGCAAAAAAATAAGATGATATTGATAAGATTTTCAAGAAAAGACAGAATAATAAGAAAGAAAGAAAGAAAGAAAGAAAGAAAGAAAGAAAGAAAGAAAAAATGAAAGGGAGAGAAGAAATGAAAGATGGATTGATGGATGGAAAATATGTACCTCAGGAGTAATGGAAATGAAGCAAAGGTAAAAATTAGATACCTCATTTTTATGATTTGCAACAAAACATGTAATCAGGTCATATGTCTACAATTAAATGTAAAAGAACAGAATCTTTGAACTAGAACAAAGGGCCTTTAAAAGGTTTTAATTGGATGATGGATTCCTGATGCCAGAACAAAATTATTTCCATCAAAGGGCCTTGTTTTCTCAACAAGTATAGACAATGGTGACCATGTCTGAAGCTCATTGGTGAGTTAACAGGAAGCTGTGTGCTGCCTGTGGTTTCCCGCCCACCACCAAGGAGGTATAAAAGACCCTTGCAGACAGGGACATCCAGACACAAGACACCTGCTTCAGATCCTCAACAGAAGAGTCCACTCCTGACACCATGTGCTACTACGGCAACTACTATGGTGGCCTGGGCTGTGGCTATGGCTGTGGCTGTGGCTATGGTGGCCTGCGCTGTGGCTATGGTAGCTATGGGGGCTATGGTTACGGCTGTTGCCGCCCCCTGTGCTGTAGAAGATACTGGTCCTATGGCTTCTACTGAGGAATTCTCACAGCTTCTTAGCCTTTTGGCTACCACCTTCTGTTTTCCTGGGATTATCTCCAATGTTCTTCAGATGGAGCTTTTTAAAATAGCTTCAATCTCCTACTACACACTATACTAGTTTAAAAAATAAACCTCTAATAAACCAATATCAGTTAGATAACATGGAAGATGGTAGAGAACTTTCTGTAGTATGTTTATAATGTGGGATGAAATGTAATCAAATTTAACTGTCAATTTCTGCATACAGATATGTATTACTGAATAAACTTTCTTTCATCATAGACTTTGACTTGTTACTCTTTCTACATTAGCAATCTTCCTTGTGTTTGTATGTCTAAGTATTTTATGTCTTGCATGTTTTGTGATCACGTGTATATGGGTGAGCAGTTGTAGCGGACAGAGTGAAAAGGGCAGACAGAGGGAAGGTAAGACAGAGGGACAGATTCTCCTGAGAGCAGGGAGGGAGACGGAAAGCCCTGCTGCCACAATCCTCGTTCTAACTTCAATGGAAAAAATATCATTTTTTTGTAACAAATGTTATGAATTTGTTTTTACATGTACTTTTTAATCCCACATAGCATTTTTCTTTGCTTGTGCTAGCCATATAGGGTTTTAAAACAGCTGTTCATACAATAATAATGGTATTTCCATCTGCTAATTTCCATAAGTTTGTGTCTGTATGTTTTGTCATGTGCAACACCAGTGATTGAATTATATCAGATAGAGTTGTGCCTCCATTAAATATTTCTTAATATCTAAAAATTATTCTGCCTGGAGAGTAATTACAGGTGTTTTGTTAGTCACTTGAGAATTGCTTGGACAAAATACCTATCACCCACTGCTGAAAAGTGGAGAAGTTTATATCAGTTCACTGTTGACTGGCACTAAGGTAGAGATGGTGAGGAGAAGGGGCCTGGGTAGAGCACAGGCTCTTCACCTCATGGAAGCAGGAAGCAGAGGGAGACAGGAGGAGCTGCAGATGGAGACACAGCTGTCCGGGGTCAGCCCAGTGACCAGCCTCTGGCCCTTCCTCGAAGTACACCCTCAACTGGTGAGACGTTAATGGATGACTATCCTGATGAGGACTGGACCTCAAGGTCTACTGACCACCCAAGGGCTGTGATATGAGCAAGAGAGTGTTAGGGGATCATTCTAGATCTATATCATAATGGGTGCAATCATACTGAGAACACAAATTAATGCCTCGGTTCATAAACACTTCTGTTTGTGAACAATTAGTTTCATGAACTGAAGTTTTTGGCAAAATTTGGCTGTCCTTTTTGAACTCCACGGGGTGATAAACAGGAGCATGACCATCTTCTCATGGATCGTGGAATGAATTAAATTCTTGAACTGAGACACCTCTAAATTACAATAATAGAACTCTAACTAAAAATGTGGTCTCTAAAACTTTCCAAAACACAGCATTTATTTTAAATATTTAGAAAAAAAAGGAAGGATGTGGCTGCACATGTCTATAATCCCAGTGCTTGGGAGGCTGAGACAGGAGGATCACAAAATGAGTCTGGGGTACAAAGTGTGTTAGGCGTAGAGAATCCCCATCTCAAAAAGACAGAAAAGAAATAACAAAGAGAGGAGAAGAACGGGGGATAAGAGAGATTATACCAGGCCAGAATAATTGTTGAAACCATGAAATGCTTGCTTAATAACAAATTAATATTGAACTATATATTAATCTCCCTAGTTTTTAATAAAATCTGTGCTTATGCTTGTTGGTATGCACAATGGTACAATTATTTCACTCCTAAAGGACATTAGGTTTCACCTGGAAAGTGCAAACTGACACTGTCAACATGCAAAAAATGGTAGAAAAAGAAAGAATTAATCTAATTTTGAAGATGGAGATATTTGGAGACATGGGTTGAAACTAAACTCCTCTTGATTCTGAGAGGCAGGCAAGAAACCTCTGGGAGAAGAAAATTCAACAAAAGTTTCCATGCTACCCCCACTTAAGTACAGCCAGACAAAAGACAACACAATCCTGAGAACAACTCACAATTAAAATATTAACTTCACACTAAGCAAGGTTTCTCCTTGAGATAATTTAGAAACTCAGAAGTTGCAAGAGGCTTGTTTCCTAAGATATCAAGCAAATATCGTTTGAAATTTGTTCATATCAAGGTCTTGAGAAAATTATCAGAAGCATTCAGATTTCCCTTTAAAAAAAAACACCTCTCTGCTGACCTAGGAGGTTCTCCTGCAGGCTGAGTCCCAACAGAGGCCCAGAGACCCTTTGGGGAGGCCCATGTGAGTCTTTGCTGAATCAAGTCAGTTAAATTCCTCCTTCCCTCCCTCTCCAGCCTTGCCATCTCCATTTGTGGCTATGGAGATCTGGACAGAAATCCAACACCTGTCTTTGTCTCTGTGTCTTTGTCTCTGTGTCTCTGTCTCTCAGTCTTCTCTTTCTTTTCACCTCTTCTGTTTCTTTCTGCCTTCCTTCCTCTAATCCCTCTTTCTGCCTTGGTTTCATTCTTTCTTGCTTGCTTTTTCTCTCGGTTGCTTGCTTACCTCTTTTTTGATTCTAACTCTCCCTTGCTATGCAGTGTAAGACAGGCTAAAACTATTGAAAAACATCAGTCCACAACTATTAAAATATGTCATGAATAAGAACATCAGTTAAAATCACAAGTATCTATAACTGAAGAACTAAAAATTAAACACAAAACCAAAATCTTAATTAAGGTAGAGAAAATGCATTACCTTACTTACAAAGAAAACTGTAAGATTAAGTAAAATACTTTTAAAAGAACAAAGAGAACTTGAAGCAATCATAATACTATGAAAAGGGCAGATAATACATAGTCTATAATGAAAAAGCCACATAATAAACTAAAGTGAACAGACAGACCCAGACCCTTCCAGCACACAGGCTGGCAAACAGAAAGTACCAAGTGCCCGACCCCCAGTACCCATCACAGCCACAGTAAACTACCGGCTTATCCAGAGAAACACAGGCTGTGATGATAGCTATGGAGATGAAATGGTGTTGGATTAGGGTTAGGGTTAGGGTTAGGGTTAGGGTTAGGGTTTCACTAACATCGCCGATGTAGGGCCAGAGGTCTGATCATGGGTTCAGAAGACAGCGATAAACATTGTGACATCTAGAGAGAATCTCTTTCTGAGGATTGCAGAAATTCTTGATTCCCTATGGACTTGTTTTGGAAGTCCTAGATGATTTCCATTGTTTTGTTGGGCTAGATTTTATTCTGTTTTGTTATATTTATGTTAAATCCGATGGTAGGAGCAGCTATTTCAAAGATGGCAAGATATATTATGGTAGCAGTTTTGGATTTACAGTAGGCTTGCTTTGAGGTCCTTTATTGCCTTCATTATTTTGTTTCTATCATTTCTATCCTCTCCGTTTCTGTCCTGTTTGATATTTACTATGCCCTAAGTTATCTACAGCTATTTTGAAGACGTCAGAAGGCATTATAGTAACTATTTTTGATTTCATAATGTTTAGAAATCTGGAATTAATTACACTGGTTTATTTTGATTGGTTTTATGATGTTTGTCTTCTTGAAAACAAAAAGTAAATACAATAATAAAGTAAAATTCATATTAAAATACAAAATATAATCCTAAACTAGTAAACAGAAGGTTAAAAGATGAATAGAGAAATTTGAGTTCTTCAAATTTTCACAAGTCATAAATTTACCTAGAAAAAAGGTAAGTCAATCAATCATAGACATTCAAAAATAATGGAATTAATTAAAATTAAAATGAATGTTAATGTGCAGAAGGAACAATGATAATTCATTTTTAGTTTTAATGCACACAAAATAAGATATGCAACAAGAGTACTATAAAATAATTTACATAAAAATACATAGTGCAAAGACACTAAAATTACAAAGACAAGAAATCTTAACAAATTGAAATAGATGGCATGGGTCAATGCAGCTGGAAGTCAGAAAATACAAAAGCTCACTGCATCACAGAACACGTGGAGGCAGAAAGCTAAGTTTTAGAACACAGGTTTCTTCCACGTGGACCATCCTTGCTGCCCCTCAGGAACACCCGCCCAGTGTGACTGTGGTCATAGATCAGTCAGGGCAATGCACAGGCTTCTGGGCAAGGGAAACAGTGGGGACTGTGGGCTATGCAGGTCTTCTGCTCTGTGTCTCCGCACTCAGTTCCACAAGTACGATGTAAAAGCAACCCAAGATAGTGGGTGTGAAAATTTTTCTACAAAATATTGGTTACCAAAAAATCTGGAAAACAGTTTTATGTAAACCTGTGAAGATGTTTTACAGCAGAAATTATTGTCTCTTTTCTCACTTTAGAACAGGATCGCATGAAGCTTCCTCTTTGTGTTTGCTGACGTAGCTTGTGCTGACCTCACTGTGGACGGTTTATTCCTGAGCCCTTTGTCTTTGACCTTGGCTATGCTCAAAGGTAAACTTGATGTTTTAAAAAACCACCAAAATTGAGCATGTAAGATCCCACTTAGCCACGCTATATTTCACTCTATCTACATATGTTTACGTGCAAAGGACAAGCAAGACAGCACAGGGAGCTGTGGCCCATAAAATTTTCTGGAAAGCTTGAAATTAATTATTCAAAGAATAAGTTTAGATTAAATATCCACCAAACTATGGTTCTTCTGTCTCCATTGATTTTATCATGTTGTAACTTGCTGGATTTTATCGTATGTGGTAGTATAAACAAAAATTGTTATAGGCAAAGAGACAATATTGAAACCATTGATCATTTTTTCTGTTAGCTGGTTCTAAATACTCTACAATGTTTTCATCCACTTGAATGGTGTTACACAGTCTTGATATGTTTGATGCTCTAGCATATGAAGTTATATTCAAATATTTCAAAGAAAAAGACACTATGGTAACTACTATTAAGTCGGGTTATTTGGTGGTGAAGCACTAGGTTGCTGAAAGTGTTATGCTTTAACCTGTATTGTTATGTTGTTATGCCCCCTCTCATCCTCTCCCTTATTCATTAAAAAATTATTTCATTTTAAAAAAAATATATATCAACCAATAAAAATGCTCCTGGATCTGTAGGGAAAAAGAAACCCTTTACAACTCTTGGTTAAAGAGTAGGCTAGTACAAACACTGTGGAAATCAGTGTGGAGATTCCTCAAAAAATTAGGATTAGAGGTCCCAGTCAACCCAGGTATTCCCCTTCTGTGTATCTTCCCAGAAGGATTGAAAAACATCACACCACAGTGACATATGTGAAACCATACGGTTCAAAATATACAATAGTCACTGTGAAATGGGAGGAA